ATCGTGCGTGGTCGTCCGGCTCCAGCAGGACTCGCTGCAGGCAGGACGTGGCGCAGGGTTTAAGTGCAAGATTCATGGTTCGAGGTTCAAGGTTTATAGGGTTGAAGGTTTTGTGGTGAACGATTTTGGATTAGTGGATGTATAAGAGCTCAAAGTTTTAAGGTCTATAGGTTTTGGTACGTGGGCAGTGGTAAAGGAGGTGGTGCTGGTGCTTCTGCTGCTGCAACTGATGGTGAGGATAAGTAGACGACGAAGACAGGATGAGAGGCATGGTTATAGCTGTATCACTACGATCACACCTGAGCCTGAGAAGCGACAGACCTCCTGCAACGTCTACGGCTCAAGGATTTCCCACCTTTCGGCCTCATTTGCTCTGAGAAACCCTCGTCGCTTCGCAAAGCATCGGTCAGCTGTCCCTGCCATGGCTCTCGGAGATTGGGCTTTGGAGTACCATACTTTTTTGGGACCTGGTACTTAAAGGGGACCATTATGAAATGAACCTAAACCCTAAATCCTAAACCCTTATCCTAAATCCTAAACCCTAAACCCCTAAATCCCTCAACCCTAAATCCCTTAACCCCAAACCCTAAATCCCTAAACCCTCTACGCTTTTTCTCCCTGTTGACTTCAAAGCCAAGGAGATGAGTCGCCCGCCATCTTCGAGGCCCAGAGTTTCGGAGGGCGGAAGGGGGACGGGACGGGACCCTACAGTACTTACAATCAGAACCCTCAGGAGTATTGGGTTCTATCTAAAATAAATAACTAAATATACATACTTATCTGTCTCTCCATATATATATATATATATATCCATATATATATATATATATATTACTATCAATATAAATACTATGGCAAGATCCTGCCTTATAGGCACTCCTTGGTCTCCGGCTTTTCCGGGGTTCCTTTGCGAGGCCAAGAGCCCGCTGGGAGCAAAGACGCGCTTCACCGGCAGCTTCCTGACTTTGCTGGGCTTGGTCTTCGTGATCTCGAAGCTGGGTTCTTCTTAAGGAGTGTAATTTAAGTTACCATAACGGGGATCTATACTGAATAAAGGAGCCATAAGAGGGATCTATAGAAAATAAAACGGCTTCCTTACGATGGTGACTTATAAAATTAAATCGCTTGAAAAGAACCAAGGAAGAGCTCCCCTCAACTTGCGAGCGAGGGTAGCAACACGAGGAGATTGTCGGAGGTGACGCCGCAACTTGCCAGCTCCGGTTGCTGCCGCTTCGCCAAGGAGTTCGAAGGCGTGGATTGGCAGAATCCACAGACCAGGGCCGAGTTCATGGCGAACGTGATGTACATGGAGCGGAAATTTCTTGGAACAGCGTCGAAGCTTGCTTTCGATCCTGACACCGGCATGACCTATGACGGTGTTGGTTTGGATCACAACACTGGCGACGTCCAGCATGGAAGTCTTCGAACTTTCTCGGCCCCGTCGAAAGAGGCTTTGCATTTGAGCCTGCTTGCCTTGGCCCTTCAACCCATCGAGGACCTGCCGAAGGAGCTAGCCACAGTGCTGCCTCTGCTTTACAGCACTGATGAGGCACTGGATATCCTGGAAAAGAAAGCCAAAACCATGGAGGATTTCGATGCCCACTTTCCAGGTTTTGGGGGCTTCCTGCCCTGGTTCTGCTCGCGTGGCATCAATAAGGCGGGCCACTGCAAGACCCTTGACGACCCTGGAGCTAGGATGACACCACTCTCTGGCTGGGAGAGGGCCCTGCCAGGTCTGGATAATGGCCAGCTTGCATTTGGCACTGCTGCCGTGGTACATGTTCTCGAACGCCGTGCCAAGCAGGAAGGTGCCTCCAGCCGCTTTGCAAAGACAGCCAGTCGCTGGAATGCTCGTTTGGAGCGGATGAAGGCATCCGTTGTCAACTTGTTCTACAACGGGGCCGGATTGGTGCGCATGGTCAGTGAGCTTGACAACATCACCGTCGATGTTGCAAAGAATGCCTCCAATGCTCACAACGAAAACGGTTTGTACCTTTGGGATGCTTTCGAAGGGGAGATGATTGTTCTATTCATGGACATCTTCGGAAACTGGACTAAGTATGCAAACAATGGTGAGGAGGACAAGAAGCTGATGTGGAAGATCAAGGCAGAGCATGTAGAGCCTGTCGTGTATAAAGCCGCCGACAGCACGAAGATGGTTCTGCAGAAAGGGTATTGGTTCTCAGCACATGAACAGTGGAAGACTTTGCAGCTCCCCTACATGGACATCCCACTGGTCAAGCACCTTTTCGCAAACGGTGAGTTTCTGGGCTTTGGAGTACCATACTTTAATACTTTTTTGGGACCTGTTACTTAACGCGAACCAGTTATGAAATACAAGTCTAGACTTTGTCTTTCCTGGGTCTTCAAAGCCCAGGTTTGCACGCTTGGAGAATTCCGTCCAACAGCAGCTTCCGGGGCTCATGGCGTCGGTCAATGCACCCAATGGTGTGCAGTGTGACGCCCATCCCTACTGCAGCGCTGTGGGAATCCAGTCCTTGGCGGAGGAGCCAGTTTTCAACTTCAAGGAGTCAGAGACGGTCCTTACCCCCTATGCCGCTTTCCCTTCGATTTTGGTAGATCCAGCTGCTGGCCTCGCATGGTACAACCACATGCTGGCCATGCCCCGGGTGCAAACACCCGTTGGCAGCATTGAGTCCTTCACAACCACTGGGAAAGCCGTTGCGCCCATGGCAACGTGGGATGCCAAAGTGACCACCGTCTTAGCCATGCTCGGGGGTACCGGGCCACTTCTCCGCACTTACATGGAGGAGCAGGGAGTCTACGGCATTTTCGAAGATCGTGTGAAGTCCATGTACGAGCCGGTTTTCAAGCCGGTCATTGCATCTGTGATGCCGAATAAAGCCTCCCTCGACATGCATATCACGCAACTTCCAACGCTGCCTTGGCCGGCACCTCATCCCGCAAGCAAAGAGTCCGTGCCAGAGGACTTTCCGAGCTGCCGCTGTGCTGAGCACCAGAGCCGACCAGGTTTCCTGCAGCCAAAGAACCCTTAGGTGAGTCACGTCTGGTTAACAAAAATCCCGGAAATCGTTAGCTGGGGTCCATATTTTCGGCACCCTAGTAAGAAAGAGGGGTTGTTGACTCAGGTTCCTGCAATACCCTAGGGCTCCAGTTGCTCAAATAGTAGCTTACTAGCATGCCTAACCATACAATATGTAACTCAGTAACCCATTGTTTAGGTAACTGGAGCCCCAAGACTAGTCGCCTGCGCTCCTCAGGACGACAGCACGGTTCGCGAGAAGCCAAGCTAGAACTCAGAATCGGGGGCCTCTCAGGGCTTTAGATTTTAAGGTTTAGGGGGTATCAAGTACAACGATGCTAGTTGCAGGGTCGATTATTAAGACCATCAGAAACTCCGAAATCTTGAGAAGCCAGGCGGCAGTAATTCATTTGCTACCCAAGACTGCTTAGAACGGCGACGAGTTTGTCGATGAGTTTAGGTTCTCGACGGTCCGGGCCCCATACACCCGAAGAGCCCATGTACCCATGTAGCATATACTTTGGTCCCAATGCACCAGAATAGGGACTACTTTAAGGCCCTAGTACATACGATTTGGGTACATGGACCCTTCGGGATAGAGGCCCAGACAGTCTGTATAGACGTGGTTGTAGCGTGCCGGCTTGCCGGCGGGCATGCCACAGCTTCTTCTTTTTGAGCAGCCCTTGCGGCTCCATCCACTGCAGCACAACAGCAAAGTGCAGAGCATGATCTGCTTCCAAGGCGTTGCTATAGAAGCTACAGCAGCGCACTAATTCAATATGCGGCTTTGCAAGCTCTGCAGTCCTTGGTTTTGACCTACGCGGGCTGGTTTGCACAACACAGCGGTATTGCAATCTAAATGAACTAGCAATTATATCCAAAGCACCAGCGGAAATCATTGGATTCCAACCTGCAACAAGTCGCAAGGTATGTCCATCGGTACATGCTTAGAACCTTGACGATGTTGTCAGCGATTTTGTCTTTCTTGACTCTCTGGCCCCTAGTGGCCCAGACAGTCTGTATAGAGTAGAGAGGTGGTTGTAGCGTGCCTACTAGTACTGGCATGCAACAACCTCTTCTTTTGAGCAGCCCTTGTGGCTCCATCCGCTGCATGCACAACAGCAAAGTGCGGAGCGTAATCTGCTTTAAGGGCGCTGCTGCAGAAGCTGCCGTAGCGCGTTAATTCAGATGTGCAGAATTGCAGACTCTGCAATCCTTCGGGTTTTGTCATGTCCATTTAAACAGATCATTTTCCAGAGCACTGCTCCGATCGTGGAGCAACATGCGAGGAGTTGCACCGCGAAAGTACTTAATGTAGGGGCCGTAATGATTACCTATACTATGTTTGGGGGGTACCTTATTACAATTATAGCATATTGGGCTCCAAAACCCAGGCCCCTATATGATTTAGGGTCCAATGGGCTGGACTGTGTTTTTTTGAGAATGAAACTGGGGTTCCATTGTTGCGAAATCCTTCCTGTCTCGACGTTTTATAGGCCATAAGCTTTTCTTCTGGATGCTTTGGGCAGGCTTCTGCTTTTGTTTGGTACTGCAGCATAGTAGCCTATGATGCAACGTACTTTATACTATGTTTTCTCTTCCATTACGGTAGACTAAGCTCTTATTTCATTAGGTTTGAAGGAGGTCTCAGTTCTCAGTAGGATTCTCTGTGTGGGGATGTGGGCTCAGGTTAGGCTTAGGTTGGCTAGACTCGAACACAAAAGCCGCATCAGGGTTTAGGGTCTGCCGGGCCTGAATAAAAATCGAATCGAATCGCGCTTGGGCTTGGGGGACGGAGGGACTTTTCAGAGAATCCTGTGACTAACCCAGACCTTCTGTTTGTTTGCAGGATTGATATGGCATGCGGGATTTGGATTTCTGGTGTAGGGTACGTTACATGTAAGCTCTTGTGTTTGCTGTGAGCCCTCTAGAAAACCGCGGCGCAGGCAACAGCATGACGCGGGGCACTGTGCAGCTAAGATGGCCGGAAGTCGCCATGGAGGTGTCCTGCGTTGGTTGGGGCTGTAGGACTAAGAAAGAGTCGTGTAGGTCTCTCGGAATCGTTCTTGGCCCGTGGTAGCTGTAAAGCATCCGAAATCTGGGTTCTGTGAAGGCCCAAAGCAGGAAGTTTTACCCTAACCCTGAGCAACCTACCCTTTTTAGGGTTCGTTAGTATGATTTCCTTATACAAGTCCTTGAAAATGTAGGTTCTTCAGGGTTAAGGTATACACTACAGACTACTGCTTTCTTCTCCACCCTGCGCCTACTTCCCATAGCGGATAATGGGTTCAGGGTGCAGTGCAGGGCAAAGAGCCAAGCTTATAAGATTTAGCGTACGGGCCAAAATTGGCTATTAGGGACCCTCACAATTGGAATAGGGTTTGGGGCTAGAGATTGTTCGTATGAGACTAGCTAGAAGCCACAAGGAATACTATTGGCTCTGATTCAGGCCGCTACATGTGGCTTTAGGGCTGGGGGTCACGCACAGGAGCATCATGAGAGACAGGTGGGACTCCATTGCAACATCTCAGTGTTAGCGTGCTCATAGTGCAAGAACAGAGTTTCACTTCGGCAGCTGGATAAGCTTCTACCTTTTCGATTGAATTGGTGTTCGTACGGTTGGGTGCATTGACATTGCATGCGAAAAAGCGCCCTAACATATACAGCCAGGTTTACATACGCCTGCAGACAGGAGGACATAACAAGTTTTTGCCCACATCCGTTGCAGGAGAAGTATCCTGGCCATTAGCACCTTCTCAAAATCCACATATGAGCAGACGTACACAGATGCCTGCATTGCATCAATACAGCAGTGCATATGTGTATACGCATGTTGTTCATACAAATATATGCAAACAAACACACACACACATGTTAGAATGGAGGTACATTATCTTCCTGGTTCGAAGATGCACAGGCCAAATACATCAATAAGTACTTGTACTAGTTGGCTTTCAGATTGCTATACTGCTATAACCCATAACACCGAAACCCAGCACCGCAAGCCAACATCGCTGTACAGCACAGCAGCAGGGAAGAAGCAGTCTGAAACGAAGCTTTGCGGTGGGGTCGAGGGGCCCCACTTGGAGGTTCATGGGTAGTTATAAGTGGGGTTATAAGTCCCTTCATATGGGTTATAAGTATAGTTATCCTACTTATAACCCTACTTATATAACTACCCATGAACCTCCAAGCAGCATTGTGTGTTTTGGGTGGGGAGGCTTCACGATTTGGTACCGAGCCCTTAGAAGCTGCCCCCACCCTGTAATCGTGGTACAATAGGAATGTATTAGGGCCCTAATATAATCCTATATAATCCTTATAGTCACTATTACAGGGTGGGGGCAGCTTCTAACCGAGCCCGATCGAGTCAGAGACAGTCTTGGCCTTGCCTGCTTTTGGCCCTCAGCCGGAACTCGAAAGGTGATAATAGGGCCCCCCAGCAAGCACATATGCAACAATTAGGATAGGGATGTCCCATAAGAATCTCCTTATAATAAAAGCCCAATAAGGTAGGGCTATCCCCATAAATTGCTTATGCGTATGTGCTTTTTGGGTCCCTAAGATAATCTAGGGCCCAGAGGGTGTCAGCTTTCCCATCCTTCTCTCGCCATCCGTCGTCGTAAACTGTTTCAGTTGCTGACTTTCGGGTCATGGGCCTAAACCCTAAACCCTCTTCCTCAGACCTCGCCAGACTTGTCCGAGAGTGAGTGTCAAAACCCTAAGCCCTAACCGGACGTTTGAGTTCAGGTACTTCCGAACGCCATGGATGGTCAAGCACCTCGTCTCTCAGAACCCAAACCCTACCTGTAGTCTCCATTGTAGTTCCTTTTTGTAGTTACCCGTTAGGATCCTTAGTATATACTTGGCTACACCAAAAAAGGGAACTATAATGGAGACCATGGGTAAACCTCAACCCAAGTAATCTTAGTAGCTGAGTGGATACACTTTACACTATTTGGGGTAATAGTACCCACTTACAAACTGAAAGTGTGCATTTGGGGGGCTTATGAACTCAGCAGCTAAGTAATGGGCTACTGGGACAGTTACACCGTATATTGGTTAGTAACCTAGAGTCTGTAGGTAAGGAATCTCATATCCGACGGATTCTGCCACTCCGGCCTCCTGTCCTCTGACGGGTCGGACCCTAGACCTTGCACCCCACGGTCCGTCTCCTGGGTTGAGGGTTTTAGAGCTTTGGGGGTTTTAAGGTTTAGGGGTTTAGGGTTTAAGGACTTTGGGGTTCTAGGGTTTTAGGGGTTAGGGTTTTAGGGCTTTGGGTTTTAGGGTTAAAGGACTTAGGGTTTAGGAGCTTGGGGTGTAGGTTTAGGCTGAGCGTCTTAGGGCTTGGGGTTTGGGTAATTTGAGCCAATCCGAAGCTCCGAGCCGTAATAACGGCGCCCGTCTTTCTGGTTTTCCAGCCTAAGATGTCTGTACGGTTTAGGCTTTAGGGGCATTTAGGGTTTAGGGTTTATGTGTTGTTGTTTCACACCTTCACTTTCTTCTAAAGAAGCATGCCAGCGAATTTTCGATGCTATTTACAACGGCCCTAGATGGCATCTTGATGGTGGCAATGGCAATTCAGTGGAAGCAGTTGGTGGGTAAGCCCAGAACCTTTAACACCTGAGCTGTAGCTAGACCTTAAGTCCCCAACCCTAAACCCCCAAGCCCTAAAACCGCACTGCTTATCGTAGAAGCTGTCGGGGCAATGAGTGGACAGGCCATTGTTGCGTACAAGAACTCTGTCGCGGCCTCGAAGCTTGCACTGCCCATAATGCCGCAGGCAGAAAGTGCCTGAGCCCCATTATCACCAAACCCCAGGGCACGGATTCACTCGGTATGTCAGCGGATCACCCCAAACCCTGAGCACTGAACGGGAAACCCGACACGAACACCCTCCGCCCCGGAATTCTCCAATCCCAAACCCTTCAGGGTTTGGGGCTCGAAGATGGTGGCGTTGAGTATCCTCCGAAACGACCCGACAAAAAGCAAAGCCCAGCACAGGCAGATCGATTGGACGAGGCAATGAACGCCTCTGGGCTGCGGAAAGAAGGTTCGACCTTCGACTTACGGCTTCGACTTACGGCTTGGTGGACTGGCCTAGGATGCTTCTATATGGGTTGTAAGAGGGGTGTTGGATTTAGGCTTCTGAAGCTGCATGGCTTAGGATGATGTCCGTTCCTGTTGAAAAGCGGAGGCCTGGATCCTAAACTCCAGTCCCCAAGCATCACTACTTAAGCCCCGACACCCCAAAGCCCTAAGCCCCACGGCCGAAAACCCGAAACTCTCAGCTCCAAGGAACCGCTACGAGCTCTAAAGAAAGAAGCGTTTTACAGAAGCCTTGCACACCCTTCGAAGCCCTTCAAAGCCCAGACGGTCTGCTCGTCCAGCCCTGGGAAGCCCAAAACTCCCATCCCAAAAGCACTAAGTCCAAAAGCCCTACTGCCGGAAAGAACGAAATGCTGGAGCCCTGAAGCCGTAAAACCCCCAAGCAATCAAAGGTCTTGTCCCATCTGCTGGTCGATCTCGAGTCAGAGCTCAAAGACATTGCAAAGAACGTGCGGCGCCAGGGTTCAGGGTTTCGGGTCCAGGCGCAGAAGTAGTGTGCCGCTGGGTTAGATAATATATACTTGATTCAAGGGGTTTAGAAGACGAGTCTATGTTCGGCATTCTGATGAGTGGATGTAATGGGCTCCTTAGGACTGTTCGTGGGTGGAGAAGGCGAGATTTCATCTTGCAATGGAGATACAGCGAAGGAAGATGCTGCATGTACAGGACCTTCACACGATGCAGGGGTGTTCAGGGCTTCGTGGTTCAGCGCTTATGGCTTGCAGTTTCCGATACAGGTTTCCGGGTTTGGGATGCGGGGTTTAGCATGAAACCCTAAACCCTAAGCCCTGGGTTTCAATTTCAGCACTTCCCACGTAGCCTGCAGTGTGTTGTCTCACGACCTTTTGGGAAGCCCCTGGCCCTGGGACTTAGTACTTAAGGATATAAGTACCTTAATTGGGTTATAAGTAGCTATAAGTATAGTTGCCCTAATCACAACCCTGGTTACTAAGTCCAATGATCTTTTATGTGCAGGGTTGCTTCATCTTTCGGAACTGCCCCTCGCGAACTGAACTATCGTAAGCTTTCGCTCCGGCTCCAGCATGGCTATCGCATGCTTCCGTGGCTTGGAGCAGCTGTACCTGTCTCTGCTGTTGTGGAAACATCCACGTGTATTTATGTTATGTTGTTTTACCGGGTGCTTTTCGGGTGTAGATATGCCCTCATTCGGGGTTCTTCTTTGTTGAACTTTGGCAGTCGGCCATGATGCTTAAACACTGCACCCGACCGAAAAAAGCAATTTCGATATGTGCCGTTGCCACGTATGTATCGTATCATGTGACCATGGGACACGACAGATTTCGTGCAAAGCTGACGGAATAGAATAGGATAGACAGGTATATGCTACTGTGCTGTATATACAGATATACATATATTCGTATATACATATGTATATATACATATATATATATATACATACATATATATATATATATTGCAGTTCAACATAGCATAGTAGAATATCGTACAACATGACATTAGGTTTGGCCATAGCTCTCCGCCCTGTCGCCAGAAGCCGCTAACAGTTTGGCGATCATCTGAAGCTTTGAAAGACCTCACCTCTGTGTGCCAACTACTAAGGCCCTCCTGCTTCTGTGTGAAACCCTGTCAGGAGTAGACCTGATCCCAAGCCTAGGAAGACCACAATGAACCTCTTGTCAACCCTTGCCGTCAGCAGGTAGCTCTGATTTTTTTTGCGTCATCGCGAAGTCCCCAACCAAAGCCTTGCATGTTGCTGGTGGGTAGCAGAACATGACCAAGAAATATGTAGAGAAGGTCTACGGCAGCTTATCACTATACTTCTTCGTCTATCCAAGGGTCCTAAACATACCACATGCGTATAAGCCCTAGGCCAGTCTAGGCGAAACAGAAGGTATTATTGTTCTGTTGGTTCCTTGCTGGGGCCGCTACAGGATGCAACGAAACTGCCTCCGATACCGTCGTCTGAAGGCGGGACTTCTGTCGGCTCATGGCACATGTTACGGGCAATTACAGACAACGGAGGAATCCCAGGTTCCTGATCAATACCCTTTTGCCCTTTTTATTGTGTTAGGGCCTCTAATTGTTAATTTGCCGGTTTCTGTTTTAGAGCCCCTTCTTCTTAATTTGCCCTTTGTATAATCCTAGACCCTTTAAACCGGAATCAAGGTCACAAGGTCACCACTGCGGGGGTTTAAGATTCTTGGGGTATTGATTCCTTAATCTGAACCCTATTATGGGAGCCTAAACCCTAACCTCCCTTCCTTCCCCCTCCCCGGTTGCCGTTGTCTCTTAGCATGCAGTTTAATATCCCGCAACCCTATTCGAATTAATAAGGCCCCTACATCACGGCAGATTGATCTGCCAATGTACACATCGCCAACGCAGACCCCGAATTTGCAAGACCCGAAGCCTCACCTCCTGCTCCCGCATGCTTCCACGTGTCGCAGCTCTGGCAGCATGAAGGCTGCACGACAGTTGTCTGACAGTTTCCGGCAGTTCGTGGACTTCTTTATGCAAAGGCTTACGATGGACCCTTCAAGTGTGTATGATAATGGCCGTCGAAAGATACTGGGCCATAACTTTACATAAGTGTGGTGGTTTAGCTACACATAACCCAGATGCTAATCAAGCCAGGGCAAAAACGTCTGTCACGACGCCGATACGATGCATGAAGCCACGTTGAGACCCCGCAAAACAGAGAATCCTACATAAACAAGTGGTTTAGACAATGTAATATATTTATCATTCTTTATCAGACATGCATACTGTATGCATTGACACGGTTTGTATATTAACTATATCTCAAAACGCGCAAAACCTGCACGCTCATGCCTGCATGTTCGAACGAAGTGTTTGGCCTAATCTGAATCCTGGCCTAAGCCCTAAACCCTAAACCCTAAACCCTAAACTCTAAACCCTAAACCCTAATCCCTAAACCCTAAACCCTAAAAGGCCTCACCAACAAGTCGGGTCAGCTGGACAGCGCCCTGAACGCCCAGACCTTAATGGATTCGGACCCTAAGGGTCCATGTACCCAGGTTTAGGGTTTAGGGTTTAGGGTTTTCATATAGTATATACATTGGCCTTAAAGTAGTCCCCATATAGGTACATTGGGGCCAAAGTATATATTTTATTGGTACATGGACCCTTAGGGGGATTGGGCGTCGGGCATTTCAGTCTGCACGGTTTTGGATGTCGAAAGCAATGAGGGCTTCTTGTGTCGACTAGTCATGGGTTTGGTGCCTTCCGGTGCTTCAGTCGCAGCTGCCAGTCATCGATGGGTCATCAAGACTTTTTTTGGCAAAGAAAGCACACAAGTTTCACTACCCGAAGTCAGAGGCATTGCTTTGATGTTGAGGTGATGTGGCCCATGCCTAGATGCGAAATTCTGAGCGTGTTATTGATCGAGATGCGGTTGCCACGGCTTATTCTAATCGTCCTATTACACTACGAAATGCCGCGTCCCCAGCTGTTCTCAATGGTGCGGATCGCTCCTTCAGGGGAACGTTCCATGATAATGACCATGGTGTCCAGAGTAAGAACTATAGGATGCACACACTATCGCCGAGACAGCAACTGGGGTGATCTAGGGTGCGACCGGTCTTGCGACAGCAATTCATACAAGACAACGTAAACAAGTGATATCGTTACCCTAAGGGCCGAAATTATCTATACTATTTTGGCGGCTCCTTACGATTATTATAATTAGTATTCAGTATAATGGGCTGCAAAACTCTATTCCAATTATTAAGGCCCCTACACTATTCTTAGACAGGCAGGGACAAGCCTTCGCAGATAAACCAATTCATAGTCCGGCTTTGCATCTCTGGAGGCGAAATACAGGTGTTTTGGACCTTCAAGGTAAATGGGAGTTTCCGAGAATGCAATGAGGGGTACCTTATTTTGGGGGGCTTCAAATAAAGATTCGACTATTTAGGGTGCTATATTAACCAGCCTCCAGCTGACTTCTAGACGTCAAGCGTCATTGAATCTAGGTCCCATGCCTAGATTTTAAAGCTCTGTGTTTGGAGGTGTATTGCTCCCCACCTGCAAGCACCGGTAATCACCAAATAGGTCGGATTTTCCGTCTCTCCCAAGTACCCTCAAGTCCGCTTTGCCCAGCTCAATCGGTATCAGCACGTTCACCGCTTCTTGCCGAAACCCCTAAACCCTAAACCCTCAAATACAATTTCTGATGCCCTTCAGAACTGCACTGCGCGCAGAGGTCTTGAATGCACAGCTTATCGAGCTGGAGAACGAGCTGCAGAAGGCAGTCCTGAGGGGCTTCTCTTTGGGTTGTTCCTCTGGTCTCCATTGTAGTTCCTTTTTTGGTTAACCAAAATCTCTATTATAGGGTCCTAACCATAAAACTGGTTAACCAAAAAAGGAACTACAATGGGGACTATAGGTGTTGTTCGAAAGCAGGTTAGGGCGGTGAGGGGTTTCGGGTTTTGCATTGCTGTCTTATGGGATGTGTTCTATTTTCCCGGTTCCGTCGGACGTCTTAGATTCCCGCTAAGTGGGATTTCTATCGTAGGAACTACAATTGGGCTATCAAGCTTTGGACAAGTAGCCTCCGTACGGGTCCTTAGGACCCTTCGGGTGGTTGTTGCTTGGACGGTGTGTCTTACCGAAAACTCCATGCGATCGAACAGGCCAGGGTTGAGTAATATAGGGGCCTTGATAATTAGAACAGGGTTTTGGGCTCCTTTATAGTGTAGTTGTAATAAGGAACCCTGTAGGAGCTTTTTGTCTACTATTGGTTCAGTCTGACTCTGCTTGTTTGTCCATCATGGTTCTGGGTTTAGGCTTATGTTTGGGTTTGTTTCTATGCTGGTCTAGGGATTAGCTAGTATTCCTGAGAGACCGGTGGTAAAAGGTGTTGAGGTTAGAGAGAGGTTTTCTGTTATAGCCAGAGAAGGTGCACATCTACAGGCTCTTAGGCGCTACGGGTGTGGGCGTGGGGTTTCGAATCATGTGCGCTCGCTGAGCAGTGTTCTAGCACAGTTTGAAGATGAGACTGTGGAGAGTAGCATGATGGCCCGAAACCCCGAAACCCCTTAACCCTAAGCCCTAAACCCTAAACCCTAAACCCCTAAACCCTAAACCCTAAACCCCTAAACCCTAAACCCCTAAGCCCTAAACCCAAAACCCTAAACCCCTAAACCCCTTAACCCTAAGCCCTAAACCCCACGATGCCCGGTCCGGTCATGAGCTCAAGCCATGGTTTGGAGGGGTTGCAGTTACACGTACACTTCGCAAGGTGCACTAGGTGATGAACCCTACCTTTTTTGGTTATCCGAAAACTAACTATAATATAGGATCCCTATAGTCTCCATTGTAGTTCCTTTTTTTTTGGTTATCCGAAAGCCATAATATGGGATCCTAGCCATTAAATTAAATTGGTTAACCAAAAAAGGAACTACAATGGAGACTATAGGACCTTAACCCGGAAGAACCTACATTTTTAAAGACTTATATAAGGAAGTCAAATAAGGAACCCTAAAAGGTAGGTTGTTCAGGGTTAAGGTAAACTCTAAACCCCTCAACCCCTAATCTAAACCCTAAACCTCTAAACCCTAAACCCCTAAACCCCTAAACTCTATACCCCTAAACCCCAAAACTCTATAAACCCCCGGACCCTAAGCCCGGTGGGGCTTCAGGGTGTTTGAGCCCCTAAGCCGCCAGACTTCTGGCTTAGGGCCGGGGACCTCAAAAGGTAGGATGAAGGTAGGTGGGATATTCCCAAATGGGAGTTTCCGAAAATGAGAGGTACCTTACTTTGGGGTCCCTATAACAAGGATCCTACCATTTAGGGTACTATTTTAGGGTCCCCTAATTTTGGGAAACTCCCAAATAAGAGTCTTTATATCAGGGACCTTTAGTCCCACCTACCTTCATCCCACCTTGTGAGGCCTCCGATAGGGGTTAGGGGTTAGCTGCAAGCCCAGTGGCAAAAAGGGTTTTAGGGTTTAGGGGTTTAGGGTTTAGGGCATTTGGTTTTGCTGGTTTGAGACTCTGGTTCCACGGTGAAGAGGTCCATCTCGCGTCTGAATAGCACCCAAAGGAGGGTACAAGGGTTCAGTCAGAAGTTCAGTCTATACGGGAGTTTCCGAAAGTTAGGGGTACCCTGTTTTGGGGTCCTCATAAGAAGGATCCTACTATTTGGGGTATTATATTGGGGTCCCCTATTTTCTGTAACAGCACAACAGTCCGAGCCTTGACGTTGCATCGCACACATGCAAAGACTTCTTAGCCACAAGCTTGAAGCTGCACACTCTTACCCCATCAGCGAAGGCATTCCCCACCCACCCACCTACCCACCCCCTCCTCGTCAGGACGGCTTTGCACCAAGTATTGGCAGCTCGGAGTATGATTTGGGCTTCAAGGTGTGGGCGTACCGATTTTGCAGATTCAGGGCTTGGGCGTGTGTCTGTGACGGTTTTGGGATTGAGGGTCTATTATAGGGGCCTTCATAGTTACCTACATTATTTTTGGGCTTCCGTCACCCTACTCTAAGTACAAAGGCCCCTATATTATGGTTCAGGGCCCATCGACGCCGGGCCTCAAGTCACGACGCCGTAACCCCGCCTGTTGTCGACTCCAGATGGGACCCTGCTGCCCCAAAAAGAAGAGGGAGGCAGAGGAGGAGGGTCGGGGGACTTAGTAAGTAGGTAGTAAGTAGACTTATAAGTACCCTAAAAGGGACCCTAATTGGGGTTATGGTACTTATAAGTCCCTAAAATAACCAGTTACTAAGTCCCCCGACCCTCCAAGAGAGCAGCAGGGGGCTGAAAAGTGGCCGAAGAGCAGAGAAGTAGGGGAGGGCCTAAGTAGGGGGAAGGCTCAGCAGAGCAGGAAGATGGAAGATAAAGGGGAGACGAGAACCCTATAAATCCATTCACAACGCAAGTGATTTTTGACTCGATTTGGGAGTTCGAGGACGCTGCGAGGAGGGGTCCTTGGGAAAACGGATTTAAATGGCTTCCGTCCCAGTACCCACATCCACCAAACGAGCAGATGAGAAGATACCAAAATCCAGACGCCGAAGCCTCCACGGATGAGAGCGGTGCGGGTGCCTTAAAACTCACCTCTACTGCTCCGGTGTTTCTCATTCGAATAGTTGTATTTGATTAATAAGGCCCCTATAGTAGTATGTGCCAGAAAGTTGTGGAATTGCCGTTTCTTGGTCCCTGGAACAACAAAATATGCTTTTTTCGGATAGGAGTTTATCTCGATGATCGCAAGCTAGCACGGGTGAGAGCTAGCTGAGGGCCAGCTAGAGTTGTCGTTAGTACAAGTAGGTAGTAATAGTAGGTAGAGGTTAAAGAGGGGTTTAGAGGGACTAGTAGGTATTAGGAGGTAGAGGGTTTAGGGTTTAGGGACTAGTAGGTATTAGGAGGTAGAGGGGTTTAGGGTTTAGGGACTAGTAGGTATTAGGAGGTAGAGGGGTTTAGGGTTTAGGGGCTAGTAGGTATTAGGAGGTAGAGGGGTTTAGGGTTTAGGGACTAGTAGGTATTAGGAGGTAGAGGGGTTTAGGGTTTAGGGACTAGTAGGTATTAGGAGGTAGAGGGGTTTAGGGTTTAGGGACTAGTAGGTATTAGGAGGTAGAGGGGTTTAGGGTTTAGGGGCTAGTAGGTATTAGGAGGTAGAGGGGTTTAGGGTTTAGGGACTAGTAGGTATTAGGAGGTAGAGGGGTTTAGGGTTTAGGGACTTGCCTGTGACTGCATCCCTCGGGACCGCTTGTACAGCTTGGACTCGGGAAGGCTCTGCCTCAGGTGCTGCCCTTGCCGGCATACAATCTCAGTCCGTGCTCAAAAAGGGACTAGTAGGTATTAGGAGGTAGAGGGGTTTAGGGTTTAGGGACTAGTAGGTACTAGGAGGTAGAGGGTTTAGGGTTTAGGGACTAGTAGGTATTAGGAGGTAGTAGGTAGTAGTGGTAGGTTGGGGGGGGCTCCCGGGGTTTCGTGCCACCCACCCTGAGGCGACGGGAAGCTCGAGGAGACCAAGGCCGAATCAAAGCCCAAGGGAGGGGCTCGACGTCTTAGGGTTTAGGGGTTTAGGAGTTTAGGGGCTAGGGGGGGGGTTTTAGGGGCTTAGGGGTTAGTTAGGGGAGGTTTAGGGGTTAATGGGTTTAGGGCTTAGGGGGTTATCCTTGTTCGGGTTTCTATGCAAGGACGCTTATGGGAACACACTCGCTGACCCATTAGCTCAGACTGTCTGGTTCTTAATGGTAGTCCCCATAACCCATTAACCCATTCCTCCATTCCCAAGTAAGAACCAGAAACCCTAAACCCCAAACCCTGAATCTAAACCCGAGGCATGCTGCAACACTCGAGAGCCCTAGACGTTCAGTTCCAGTTCCAGTTTTTGCTAGGGCTCATTAGTTACCCATAGGCTCCATTGTAGTTCCTTTTTTGGGGTTCATATGTAGAATCCTAAAGGTAATCCCAAAAAGGAACTACTGAGGTGGAGCCTCTGAGTAACTAATAGAACCCTAAACCTTAAACCCTAAGCCTCATGAGATTTGACCATCCGTGCTCCTACAATCCTCAACCCCACAGCCCCCAAAGACCAAACCAATCTCGAGCGAGGAGTTTAGTCTGACTGCACGAGGTGGATCCAATTTCTACTACGACCTGGTAGTGGAGTAGGCAACCTTTTTGCTTTTTGTGGTATTGTAATTCCCATACAATCCCAGATTAACCTGCCTAGGATACTTGACAAGCAAGAGTAGTATGCCATACCGCTTTCCATCAAGCATTCAATACATCCCGTTAGCAGCAAGCGTCAGGGTCTAGGGGATTGAGTTTATAATATAATCCATCATCTGGTACGTTGTTAATACAGTAGAAGATCAAACCGTGCAACGGACAAAGTTGCACCGCTGGCACCGCAAGCTTTGTGTGGAGGAAGCCAAGATTCAAGCTTCGAACCAAGGCACCTTTCTCGGCGGGCTCAGGTTTAGGGGCTCAGGAATTAGTTGTGGATCAAAAAGCGTAATCTTTTGCAGATTATCATGCTCACTCATGGCCCACTGTGTGTTTTTTTGCTTGGCGTTTCGCGGCAGAGTCTAGAAACGCAAGGGGTTTCTTATCGAGGGTGTGTAGAGGAGACCGATTTGTGTGGTTGCTTCAGCGTTTTCCTTTTCAGGGTTCAGCATGCTGCAAACCCTAAACTTCATGTCGTCTGCTAACATAAGGGTCCACTTCCAGCCGATTCTACAAGTATAGTATATGATGTCGTCCAAAACCCTATTTCAACCTTAGTTGCTGTACATGGCCTATATGGCCCGATATCATCGCTGTTGACTCGAACCTGAAGATGTAATGCAGCATTTGTTTTGCAGCTATGCTTAACCTTTAGAGGGAGCGCTGTCTTGCTGTGGGGTCATAGGGCTTAGGGTTTGGGGACGTTTTGAGCAAAGATCTGAATGTCGGGTTTAGTCTGCTATCTAAGTCTCGAAGTGAAGTCAGGAACGAGAATGACTCCCCTAAACCCTAAAATCCCTAAAACCCTAAGAGAAAGAACTCTGACTCCCGAGGGTTGTCCTTTGGGATCTTTTTTTTAATTTCCCCTACTACAAGTTTTTTGTAGAGAACCACAATAGTAGATAAATATTTTTCAAAGGGCTTCAAGGACAGCTCAGACAGCGAAACGCGGCTCTCCGAAAGCAGAGAGCTCCCCCGAAAAAGCCCTGGGTTTGGGGGAGCAATCCTGGATGCGCAAACCTCCTGGCGGCTGAAGGCTCCTAGTTCAGGGTTTAGGGTTTATGATAGGGTTTAGGGTTTTGGGTTTATGATAGGATTTAGAAGCCCGAAAACCCGAAGCCCTGAAACCCTATTTTAAAAAAAATCTCGACAAGGGACCCGCAGGGGGTGGTCTCCGAGAATCCGGGATCTCCGAACCACAAAGCCCGGTCCCACTCCATGGACCCTAAAGCATATTCTTAGATCCTTAACCCCTAAACCCTTAAATCCTAAACCCCTGAGCCCCCAATCCTTAGATCCTAAACCCCTAAAATCCTTCTCCCCCTAAACCCTAATCCCTAAAATCCCTCTACGGGGTTTGAGGCCACGCCTCGAGGACGAGCCTGGCACCGCCAGACCTGCGGACACATCGCTCGGCGAGGCACTCGCACCTTGGAGAGATGCCCATTGTGCTACGCTCAGCATCTTCGGAGGATCCCAGGCAATGTCCGCCGCCGGCGCCCCCCCCCCAGGGGAGGACGACGCTGAGCGAGACACGAATCACGCAGTAGCGCACCCTCTGAAGGGGGAAGCGCTAGACGCTCGTGAACGCGACTGGGGAGGGGTGCTTGGCTTCTATTTAGGAGCTTGCATCTTCCTCCTCATGGCGGGCCTGTGCCTCCCTAAACCTAAACCCTAAACCTCTAAGTCCTTTCCCACTAAACTTCACTAAGCCATATGGACCAGTCCTTCTGGAAGACATGCCGCCTTGTGCGAGTGGCGAGATTCGAAACCCCAAACCCTAAACGGCCCTAAACACTAACCACGAAGGTGAGAAAGGGCAGACGCCAAAGCAGACCACCGAGGCCTCCAATATGGCATCAGGTCTTGAAGCAGTGGGATGTCAGGTTCGGGCTTAGGACAAGAACTGGAGTTGCTGTCAGAGTGCTAATTCTGGCGTATACTGCAACATCGCAAAAGTGTCAACTACACTACAGGTATGAGATGCATGTACGCCGCTTGAAGTACGTAGCCTCCACACTTGTGAAGTAACGCGACATGTAGCCTGATCGTTGCCTTTTTTCTGAAGATGCCTATGAAAACTTGCGGTGTTCAACCCCAAACCCTAAAATCCTAAACCCGTCTGGCAGTGTCCGAGTTGCGAGAGCGTAAACCCTAAAACCCTAAACCCAAAAAACCCTGCTTCACTTATTGGCCGGATTGCCTTGGAGTTCCCGGCTGGCTGACAACAGGTTTGAGGAGTGTAGGGTGTAGAGGCACCATCGTGGCACGTGGGGCTTATGAGAACGTAACATTCTTTTAGAAATAAAGGATCATCGATATTTGTATAGAACTGGCCAAGACAGTTCCATCGGGTGTTAGCGCTTCATAGCTTACCTTAAGACTCAAAAATGGCCCAAAAGCCTCATAAAACATGGTCTTTAGGCCTAAAAGCCTCAAAATATGACTCCATAGAGCTTTAGAGTTATAGAACAACAGCAATCCATGAACTGTCGGATGGGGCTCCTGTCCTCCAGCTAGCTGGCTTTCTGGCATACCTTCTGATCTTCCTGATGGCCTTGTAGAGCCACCTATAGTCATTGATAAGATTTTTCGGGGGCGTCAGATTAATGCAGAGCCATTTAATTAGTTAGTATAGGTTTGGGGAGGTTCTTTATCGTATTATAGCATACTATGCCCCCAAACCCTACTCTGAGAATTAAGGCCCCTACAGTACAAGCCAGCCACAGTCGTCAGACAGGACGGCTGTCCCAATATGGAGCTGGCTCTCGTGTAGGGAAAGTGCCAAACAGGAAGAACACCTCAAGAGGGGTTTCAGGGTTTAGGGTTGAGGCCCGGCTAAAGCGCAGTGAGCAGAGCTTAGGAGGCCCATGAGTGCAGAAGGATTTGGGGCATCTGTGGGCAACAAGATACCTACAGAAGTCGTTCTTCACAAGTCTTACCGGGGAGAAGGACAAGCAACAAAAGCAAACGAACTGCTGAACCCAGATCGAGACTGCCGAATCCGGTTTCTCTCGACCCCAAGCCAAAGCCGCGAGGTGCTAGCAACGCCATTGAATGGGGTGCCTACAATGCTCTTGTCGGTCACTCAGAGAGCCCCTCGCGCCACCACTCCAGCTTGCTACCAGGGCCACATCGGGGCTGCTCAAGGTTATGATAGTGTAGGAACCAGATGACCACCCCTTGGGTATTTATTAGAGCTCTTTATATGGATCCTCATATGTTGGGGTTCTAGGACCAGGGTTTCTTGAAGTCTTGCCACGGAGAAGTGCGCGCAGGGTTGTCACCGGAGGTTAAGATTGTGGGACTGGCCTGATCCGGACCCACAGTTGCGTTTCAAGTAGCTGGGTCGTTGGTACATCCTGAAGCGAAAGCCCTTTTAGAACGAATCACCTTATGGTTTGCATGGAGAGGATCACGTTTGTTTTGGAAGCTTGGCCAAAGGCTTCGGTCAGTGTTAACACCACGCTGCATTTCCCTCAAGCACCTCTGGCTTGGATTCAACAGCTGAGGACATACCATAACTACGACCTTCGGTCGTGTGTGGGAACTCATAAACACATCTTGAAAATAGGAAGCAAGATACAAGTGAAGTTAGCAAGTAGACAGCCTATATACTTGGACTGGCGCTTGTAACACCCTGCAGCCCCCTAACCTCCGGGCATATGCAGAGGTTCGGCCGTAGTCTGAGGCGCACACAGCCCGGGCAGCCGCAGCTACCCACTGGAGTCGCCAAGCGCCTTGGCCCGGATATGACGCCCAGAACCATGCCATGCGGGGGGGGGGGGGAGGGGGGCCTTGATAATTAGAAAAGGGTTTTGGGGCCCATCATACTATACTAACAGTTAAGGAACCACCAAAATAGTATTGGTAGTTGTTTAGGCCCCTATAGTATGGAACTGTAGCGGCTCTACCCCAGACCCTACAACATTATAGAAGCCTTTGCGGTGCATTTCCGCCCATAACCCTGTTGAAAGTGAAGTTCTAGGGGTCACAAGCCAATCATATACTGCGCAGTGAGTGCGCGGAGGTGCAACTGAAGGTCTGTATTGTCCGTTTTGGAGGGGCCTTTCCAAAGCCAGGTCAGTACTCTGCCGATACAGAGCGTTTAGGCACTTCTTGAAAAAACGTCGTGTAGGTAGTTGGGCTTCCAGGGCGCCGTTTCTTGACATCAAGTCTGCGAACAACACTCCCTCACTATCTGGATGGACGTTTATTCTGCCCCGTGATCCCCTTTCAGGATCCCGCCGTGATATGCATTTCTCCAAGCCAGACCCAAGAGCCCCCAGAAGCTTCATTAGTCCTAAGGCCCGAAAGTAGTTCCTTTTTGGGGTTCGTATATAGAATCCTATAAGGTAATCCCCAAAAGGAACTACTTTAGGGCCTATAATTAGTCCTAAAGCGACCTTTCAGACGACTCCAAACTGTAGATCCGCGGTCATGTGTGAGGTAGGCATCCCCCTCAGCAGCGAATCCTGAGCTTGCTCTGGCCCGCGATGTCAGCTGTTCAAAGCGCTATGTAAATGTGCACCGGTGCTATGAAGGATCACGTAAGGTATGGTACATACGCGGTTTAGGATGTTGGGTTTAGGGCATGTAGGGCTGTACAGAGTACGGAAAGGTGTATAAGGATGACAGAGGCGCATATCGAGACGCCAGTTTCAGCGCTGCGAGTGCAAAGATGTGTGACACCATTCCGGTTTAGTCTGCAGGCATGCTGCGGGTTTGGATGGCTTCCGGGGAAATGTTGGCCGCCATACCCGTTGAGAGCTTGAGTGATGTGAGGAGTTTGAAGCATCACCTGCACCAAATCTATGCAGTGCCGCTCTTCCGACAAGTGGTTTTGCAAGACGGCGAGATCCAGGACGTAGATCCCCAATACCCAACCTTTAAACTTTTTGGCTTTCGTAGTTTAGTAGGAATCGGAAAGTTTAACCTTTTATTTTGGTGTCTTGCTGGGGAAGTAAGAGGACGACTCCACGCCTCTTTGCTTACCTGCCGATGTGCAGCTGGTTGTGCGGAACTCCTTTTCCACTACGCCCGAGGGGGAGATGAACGAGTTTCTCCAATTCGTCCCGCGATGGCCGTGTCTCTGAGGTTGAAGATGTGCTGATGCGTTTCCATGACCCGAACTTGCCAGGCGGTGATCCACTCGACTGTGCGGTCTACCATGGGTATGTAGGAATTGTTCGTCTGCTGCTACAGGCTGGGGCCTAAATAGTTTCCGATACTATTTTGGGGCTTCTTCACTATAATTATACCACATGCGGTCGAATTTTGAAGCAGGCTGGGGCGCTCATCTCCCCGGAGTGTCTGGCTAAAGCATCTCGAGCTGGACATGCCGAGGTCGTGGCCGCGTTACTGGAGGCTAGGGCAGATCCCGAGTCGATGTTTGAAGGAAGATTCTCCGCCCTCCTATGTGCATCGGAAAACGGGCATGCAGGAGTCGTTCGCACACTTTTGGAGGCTTCAGCTGCAGACGAGGGCTGCGCGAGTTTGAGTTGGGCTGCAAAGCTTGGCCATTTGGAAGTTGTGCGCCTGCTTGTGCAGGCCGGATTTGGGTCCAAGCTCGATGGTGGGCCCATCATCGATGGCCCGCTAGACGCGGATCATTTCGTAAGTGCAGCTGGTAAGGGCCAGGTGGAAGTTACAACTTGGCTGCTGGAGGAAGGGCTCAGCAGGGGTTGGGGTCCACCTGAGTGGCCGCCTTTACAATGGTATGCGGATGCTCTCAGCGAGGCATCCCGTGGTGGCCACATCAAGGTAGTGCGCTTGCTGCTGGAGACTACGGCCACTGCGGCTGCACTGGACGTGACCGGCTTGCATGGGACGCCCTTGATTGAGGCATCTGAAGCTGGACATGTAGAAGTCGTACGACTGCTGCTGCAGGCTCAAGCTTCCCCGAACTTAACCAACAAAGATGGCTTGCTCGTTGCTGTGGAGCCTCTGCGATACTACGGTAAACGCCGCCCTCGAGACACCACAGCCCTTATGGTGACTTGTGGAGCTGGCCATGTTGAAATCGCAAGCCTTTTGCTGGAGGCAGGCGCTGCAAAAGACGTGCTTGACAACAACGGCTCTTCAGCTCTGATGCTAGGCCTCCCAGTGGGCCCTTTGTCCCTTTTTGTAGTCCTAGGTTCTTTATAAAGTTACCCAATACCAAAAAGGGAGCCCTTTTTATTCCTAGCTTACACCCTAAACCCTAAACCGGCATCCTAGGATGTATGCCGTGGACGGGCGACGCAAAGGAGCTGCGCGCTTGCTGCTGGAAGCCGGGGCCGTCATGCCCTCGGACCAGCGCTACTTCGTCAAAGTTGGGTAACATTTTGCATTTTTATGGGTACTTAAAACCAATATGGAATAAACATGTAATTTTTCGTCCTATCCTAACCATGAACCAAGAAGCCCTGTGCTCGGTGCTGGAGGCCGAAACTCCGAGTCAAAGCTCGGAGGAAGATTTTGATTTATTTGCTTGATCTTGCTGTCCCTCAGGGTCCATGTACCAATATATATATACATATATATATATATATATACATGTATAATATACTTTGGCGCCCCAACGTACCTATAGAGGGAATAATTTAAGGCCAAAGCATATACTAATTATTTGGGTACATGGACCCTCAGGGTTTGATTTATTTGCATGATCTTGCTGTGAGATGGGCAGCAACAGCGCCCGAGGGCAGCACTGATGAAACTGTTGCCTTCACCCGACGGCCCGACGACGTCAAATCATGTGTTGAATAGTGTTTGCAACACGCTCCCGCCCCTAAACCCTAAAGCCTAAAGCCCAAAACCCCTGAACCCGTCGCAAAGGATTGAACCCTGAGGCAAAACAGGCCCTTAAATGTTTGAGGCCCCTGAACCCAATACCCGAATCCGAAACCTGAGCCAAAAAGTCTTAGGTGCTTAAGGGCCGATTAGCTCATTTCACTAAGCCGGACTCAAGGCAACGACGTGGCTGCAATGCATTCTGTTTTGTGGGCGATCGGATTCTGAGGTTGTGGAGTGCGCGGGGACGGGGGTTTTGGATTGAATGCTGTGGTTCTTTGGTGATTTAGTAGATTCAGGGGGTTGGGGCCTTTCAGTGTTTTAGGGATTTCGGGTTTGGGCCTTAGGGTCTGCTCCTTCAAAGAAGCGCACCATCTGGACGAAGATTTTTAGGGTTTAGGGTTCAGGGTTTAGGGTTCAGGGTTTAGGGTTTAGACTTCAGTGGCATTGCAATCTACCCTCAAGAGGACCATGTTCGGGGCCTCCAGCAAAGCCCAAATGGTCCAAAGTACGTATAGTAGAATGTAGGGTTTCCATATTAGGAATTACTATTTTAAAAATGATTTGGGGAAGTATCCCCCATAACAGTACCTAGGACCCTTTGGGAGGGTCTCAGGCACTCTAAACTTTAAGCCCCACCTTCTTGGTTTCAAAATCGGTTAGAACATTCGTCTTTGCGTGTCAAGAAGGGCACTGCATCTAATAAATAAGCCCTAACACGTATTCCCTCACATTTAGTTTCTATACGAGGACCCCCGCAAAACGTTGGTCGAATTATGAATGCCCCCATATCCCTTCATTGTCGTTACGAAACCAAGGGCGCTTCCGGGTGCTCCTGTCATGGCACAGATGCCCTTGGGCTGGAGGCACGGATGACTCCAGCACTAGGGGATAGTTCGGGCTTGGTGTTCAGAGGCTTGGGATTTAGAGTTCGGGTCAAGTTTAGGACGTAGGGAAGCAACGCCCACTCGAGGGAACAAGTTCTCACAAAAAGTCGGAAGGCGGATGGCAGTACATTTTGGTTCCTCCAGAAGCATGTCCCAATGCCATTTGGATGATGTATTTGCGCAGCAAAGAATCACATCTTCACTGGCACCTGCTCGTATCTTTGGTAACAAAAAGATTATGCGGTGTTGCTGCTGCTAGGATCACTTATTACATGTGCGAATCTTCTAAATCTGGAAGGGGTGCATGGTCTAGAGTCAAGGATCTGTGGGTTTATTTCCTAAGTTGCGGTCTAAGCGGGCTTGGGCCGGGATTGGTCTGGCACTGGCAGATGCATGAATTCTCTGTGTTTCGATCTGCACCCTGACCTGCGAACCGAGACCGCGTTTGGCAGAGTCCGAGTTGCGAGAGCGTAAACGGCGTAAACCTCCAAACCCTACCCTAAGGCTCTAAGGACTCATATTTTAAGGCGGGCCTAAAGACCATGTTATATAAGGCTTTTGGCATTTTGAGCCTTAACCCTAAACTCCCCAGTTTCGAAACCCCTCGAACAAACCCCTCGTCCTTGCTAGGTAGGAGGGAAAAAGTTCCCTAGATACTAAAGTTACTAAACCCCTGAACCCTAAACCCTAAACCTGCAATGCGGGGGTCGTCCTTGCTAGATAGGAGGGCAAAAAACCCCTAAACCCCTGAACCCTAAACCCTAAACCTTAAACCCTGCACCCTAAGCCCAAAACCCTAAACCCTACCCTAAACCCTGAAGCCTGAACCCTAAATCCTAAACCCTGAACCTTAAACCCTAAACCCTAAACCCTGAACCCTAAACCCTAAACCCTGAACCCTAAACCCAAAACCCTAAACCCTGAACCTTAAACCCAAAACCCTAAACCCTGAACCTTAAACCCAAAACCCTGGGCCCTAAACCCTAAACCCTTAAGCCGCAAAGAGGCTCCCCGAGCAGAGGTTGCCTCAGGCACCTCCACAGCAGCAGCTCGGCACCAAAACTTACGGGTAAAGTAGGATCGTGGGTTTCGAGGGGTTTGGAGTTGGGGGTTTAGGGTGGAAGTTTTCGGGGAGTTCGGTTCAAGGCTTCGGGGGCTTGGCGCATGGTGGTTTAGAGTTTTTGGGCCTGGGTTCGAAGTCGTTGCCGCGGGGACATGGGAACGCTGAAGCAAAGAGTCCTACTACACCATTCTAGGGTTTCGGCTGTCATCGCTTGTAGTAAGGGGTAGGTTGTCTTTATTTTTTGCTAAATACGATTATAAATTATGATGAATATTATTATTACTTCTCACTGCGAGATCTTGGGGGTTTCTAGTGTTCTCAAGCCTGGAAAGTAACTGAGTAACTTGTTCAGCGGGATTTTTATTGGGGCTGACGGGTGAAGTTTTAGGCTTGCACAAGCTGGTTCTTTACATGTCTTACAGGGGCTGAGGTAGTTCGAGTGGTCTTTGGGGGATGTGTTTTGGTGTAGCATGCATGCAATGCGTTGCACGGTAAGCTTGCATGCGACTCAGCCCTGAATCTGTTCAATACGGTTGATGATATAAATCCTGCATTACCCATAATAAGGAATATACCATAAATCCCATAGTTCAGGGTCCTCAGGGTAATGCAGGATTTATATCATCAACCGTAGGTCACAATCTTGCGCCGTAAACTGCCGGTGGATCTCCGAAGCGACCACAAGGAGCCCCAAGAACCAGTGCTCACGGCTGATTTGAGGACGCCATGACAGCACCTTTCTGTATGAAGCTTGCTGGAGCTGCTGCCATAATAGGGGCCTTAATAGTTAATAGGGTTTGGGGGTATATTATGATGCTGTATATAGTTTAAGGTACCCCCAAAAGTAGTATTGGTAATGTATTAGGCCCCTACAAGCAGCGACCAGGTGATCCTAGCGCAGACCCCAAAGATAGTCGGATTAAGGTTTAGGGTTTAGGGGGCTTAGGGTTTAGGGGGCTTAGGGTTTAGGGGTTGAAAACGGGGTTTAGGGTGTAGGGTCTTCTTCTTCTTAGGACCCCCCGATAATGTACCCCCCCCCGGCGTGAAGACGCACGAAATGAGGGTTTCCTTGCATTGCGATCATACGGGGCTTATACGGCCCCTCACTCGTCAACCAAAAAGATCGGAGCCCCTCTTTTCCTTGGCGAGCCCAAAATGTCTTCAGCCCTGATCCTTAAACTCTGGAACATGGCCCTTTAAGACCCTAAAACCCTAAACCCTGTAACCCCAGCCTCTTGAGCCACCGAGGTTTCAGCCGCGGACATCACCCCGCCCCAGCAGACTGTCCCAGGAGCGACAATTTTGACCCTAAAGTCCTACAGTGCGTAAACTGGCAGGGCTGGGTTTGATGTGTTAGACTACCCTAAGGCTCTAAGGACTCATATTTTAAGGCTTCTGGGCCTAAAGACCATATTATATAAGGCTTTTGGGCCATTTGGAGCCTTAGGGCTAGTGTTGGTGTTTTGGGGTTGTTTGCTAGGCTGGATAGGGCATTTCAGGCTCCTGGGAAGTCGGCCTCTTGGGAATTACAGTAAGGTGCTGACACTCATTCCTTAGAAGCTGCCCCCACCCTGTAATAGTGGTATAATAAGAATAGAATAGGGCCCTAATATAATCCTTATTGTCACTGTTACAGGGTGGGGGGCCCCTTCTAACTCATTCCCATGAAGCTGTGTAGGCTTAGGCTTTTTTTGGGTGGGGAGGTTCCGGAGCGCCAGAGGAAGGGTTGCACGTTGTGCATCATGGCACACGTGAAGCTCGCACTGTCTGTGAGAATCTACACCCTAAGGCTCCAAAGTAGTTCCTTTTTGGGGTTCATATTTAGAAACCTATAAGATAATCCCAAAAAGGAACTACTATGGAGCCTCTGGGCAGTTCGACACAAGCCACTTTCAGCCTGAATCCGAGATGTGGCTCCAACGCGAGAGATTCATGACTAAATGACATAAGTTACCAGAATCACTGCCCCTTCCGCCCCGTCTCCCCCGAATCCTGACCGTAAACGCCTGGCCAAAACCCGACCTTGAAACCTTCATCAAGTTGTAAGCCCCTAATTAACAAGTATTGCTGGTTGCAGAGGTCAGGACTTTTTACAGTCGGCTTGAGAGAGCCGGTTCATCCCTTCAAGGAGGGGACATATCTTATCTCAGTAGTGGCACATACCCTTGAGCATGTTTTGGCGTTTTGTATTATTCCCTCTATATCATGAAAGGTTAACCACGACTTACCGTGGTTAGGAATACTTCTTAAAGTCCCCCTGCATGAGATTGCTTCTTGCATAGCAATCCCTTCCTGCAAATGCAAGCCCGAAGCCCCACCTCCCTAAATCGCCAAGCTCCACAGCACTGAGAGCCGATAGCCTTGAGCCCTTCAGACTTAATGAAAAGCAATCACATGGCAGGGTTTAGGGTTTAGGTTTAGGGTTTAGGGTTTAGGCGTGGGCGCTGGCCGGCACCTCAGTCCGTGCTGAAAAAGGGTTTAGGGGTGTAGGGTGCCGAAGGAGCAAACAACAACTAATCCCCTCAAGTGCCCAAGCACGAAGCTCGAAGCCCCACTACCGAAAACCGACAATCCGAACACTGTGAACCTTACACCATAAAACACCTCAACCTAAATGCCCGACTAAAGACATCATGAAATATTCCTAAGCCCTAAAAACCCGAAATACTATTCGCTAAAGCCTTGACCCTAAATTTTCAGAGTTCAAGGAGCCAGCGGGGCAGAAGCTCGCTGTAGCGTCGGGTGCCAAGCTCCAACGCTGCTCTGGTAATATAGGAGCCTTGTTAAGTACTTAGACTATTCTGGGGATTCCATAGAAAGGTAAGTATATATAGTATACTATACCCCAAGACCCTATTCCAATTAATAAGGCCCCTATAGTAGTTCCGCAAAGAAATGCGGAAAAGGGGGGTTAAACAACTCGGAGGAGCCATGCTTTGGAGTTTTGGGTTTACCCACAGGCTCCATAGTCGTTCCTTTTGGGATTACCTTATCAGAGAGGATCCTAGATAAGATAAGCCACCAATAAGCAACTACAATCGAGCCTATGGGTATACGATTTAGTAGTGTCTGGTATTCTCCAAGGGGCCCTGTACCTAGCCTGCATACGGTTCAGTATTAGTGGTCTTTAGTTTCTGTGGGCTTTATCGGGGTTTCGTACGACAAGCTAGAACATAGCTTAAACCAAGGTGATAAAAACAAAAACAAAAGCAAACTTGGGCTCTGCATTACCTAGATGGCCAGAGATCGCCAACTATATGGTGCACAGGTGCATGGGCCCTTGGGGTATAGGGTCTCCTCCTGCCGCACGCCTGGTGGCCCCCAGTCTTCTGGTGGTCGTGTCTCGTCTCCCGATGGTGGTCCCGACGGTCGTGTTGGTCGTGGTTGCGTGCATCGTGAACGTCATAGCCATAGCCGTCAAGGTGCTCTACTTGGAGGATCATGGGACTTAGTAAGTAGGGTTATAAGTACCTTAATTGGGGTTATAAGTAGATGTAACTATAGTTACTTTACTTATAACCCTACCTACTAAGTCCCATGATCCTCTAAGTATGATTGTTCGGGGATCTACGCTGGCATAGTAGGATCTGTGCAGTTAGGGGAGCTACAACATGGGAACGGCCTTCAAGCTTTCGAGTACCTTACCCCAAGGGTCCAAGTACCCAATAATCGTATACTCTCCAAAACCCTAACCTACACAACTACTATCCTCACACCGAGTACCTAATTGTTGGGTCCTTTTTTGGCCCTTAGGGTTATGCCCTAAACTAGGGGTTGGGAGGGTGGAGACCTTCAGCACTTCTGCTGCAGCCCGGATCGGTGTCGGGCTCAAACCTAGAAGCTCCATACACTCAAAGGGGAGAAGGACGGACCCTTAATGGGGACCCCCACCCTATAATGGGCTATATAATTATGGGTATATAATAGCTATATTAAGGGTTTATACCTAGGGGTCCTTATTAAGGGTCCCTCCTTTTACCCTTGGATACACAGAACCATTATGGAATGAGGTCCCTAAGACCCTGATAAGGATGGTCTTTTGGGCCTAACTCCATAACTGTACCATATATGGAGCCTCTGCGAAAGTTTATATAAGGGGAAGCGCCGATGTAGGGTTTGGGCTAGCGGGTAGATACAGTTAACAAAAAGCATAGGCCGTTGATTCAGCTGCCAGCAACTTCTGTTTGTTTCGATAGACATGGTCTTGGGTCTGAGGTGCCAGGTGGTTCGGTCTACAAATCAACGACTATGCTACCAAACCCTAGTCTTGCGATCTTTGCAAGGATGTTGTTATAGAGGCACTGTTGACTCAGTGCTTCTGCTGACCGGGGCTGTGGCAAGCTCTCGCTGGGATCCTCTTCTTTACCGATAGTTGTTGATTATGATTAGCCTTCTGGTTGTAATGTTCTGCTTATTGCTGAGATCTCTGTGTCCTGTGCTGTTGGCTGACGTATCTGCGGTGTCTCTAAAGCCCTCGCCTGTCGTCCTTTGTAAGCTACGGACAACTTAATATAGGGGCCTTAATAATTACCTATACCATTTTGGGGGCTCCTTGTTATAATTACAGTATGATAGGCCTCCAAACCCTATTGTAATTGTTAAGGCCCCCATAGTATACAATCTGCAAGTAATTTTCCGGTCAGCTCATCAGATGTCTAGGGTTGAAGACTTGTCGCCGTGGCGACTTGTGCCACTTCAGGTAGGGAAATGCAAGTTTTGTGGATTCACGGGTTGGGATATGGGACTGTGAAAGCAGGAGAAACCGGAAACTTGTTTTCCGGTTTCGCAGCCTTGCTGACTTTGTCTTTTTGTCTGGTTTAGCAATTGACACAGCGCGTGCATGTTGCAGGGGCACCTGTGTAACCAACACGACCTCAATCGCATGGAATGTACCCAAGGCTCGGACAATGGAGTCCCACACAGATAATCTACCCACTGGGCTTAGTGGCAGAAATTGCCTAATGTATGCATGCATGCATGCACACAGTCATTGTATGTATGTTACTTTTTATGCATGCAGATACTCCTGCCTTTCTGCCTGGCCCCCCTGCCTGCCTGTGTGTCTCTCAGTGTGTGTAGGTAGTCAGGGAGGCAGGCAGGCAAAGGCAGTATACGGGTCGGTGGTGTGCCGGAACGTTTGTATGTAGGCTTGTTTGTTCGTTCCTTTGTCACCTCGTCGCCAGAGAGTTGTCCCCATATGACCCTGAACCCTAAACCCTAGTACTTGCGGGTATGTGTGGACTTGAACAACTTCGATAGTGAGCGAACGGGGGAACTTTAAACTTCTTGGCCTATTAGCTCTGTCTTAGAAAGTTTGAACTTTTTGGGGCCCGGTTGTTGAAGAAGAGAGACAAGGACCGCCGAGCAACCCTCTAAAATGGAATGATGCCTGGAAACCTCCAACAAGATGCCGAAGCCCCGAATCCCAAACTTCCAATCCTAAACCTTCGACTCGTAAGCCCTAGAGCTCCGAATCTTCGATCGATTCTAAGGCCACCTCAGGTTGCGTCCGGTGCAGCCATGGCTTCTGCAGCGATGTCTGCCACGGTCGGCAAGGGTCGAAATTGCTAGGGTTTCGGGAGCACGTGCGTATGTACACATGTAGGTCCATGTGTTTGTATCCATGCATGCATGCACGTATGGATGTGCAGGATGATGTATGTAATACGTAAGTACGTATGTAGGTAGATAGGCAGGTGGGAAGGTAGTAGGTAGGTGGGTACGTGTAGGCAGGCACATCGTCCGAGTTCACCGATGCTGTAGGATGGGAAGGGTTTGGCCTTTCCACATTGGTTCTCAGTGGTACAGGTTTGCAACTTGACCAAAGCAGCCGCTCAGCCCCACACCCTACTGTAATTAATTCTACATGGGCAAGTATCATATGACATATAAGACTAAACCCTAAACCCTAAACCCTAAACCCTTCCCAATATAGAGCCTTTCAACTAGGTAAGCCTCGATCTCCAGCCATGCACGTCTTACTTTCCTTCCCTTTCCTGAAGTTGGCAAACCAGCCCTCATAACAGCCCATATCATTTCTGTGCTTTTGCCGGCCTCGCACCTCCTATCCGGGAGTTTCTGCAGCCTCTGCACTTCTTTGGGGTTTAGAAATTGCAGGGTCCGAGGATTCCGGGCCGGAGTTTCTGGACTTGGGCTGGTCACGGTTTAGGGTTTACAGTTTCGGCTTGGGGCTTAGATGTTGACGTTTGGAGGTCGCAGTACCCCTGCGGAAAGCCTCAAGCAGTACTTAAAGGATCATGGGACTTAGTAAGTAGGGTTATACGTACCTTAACTGGGGTTACAAGTGGATATAGCTATAGTTACCTGACTTATAACCCGACTCATATAACTACCCTAAGGCTCCAAAGTAGTTCCTTTTTGGGGTTCATAATAGAATCCTATAGGGTAATCCCAAAAAGGAACTACTATGGAGCCTCTGGGCACCCATGAACCTCCAAGTACTATACGCCCGCAACTCGAGAGCCGCCCCGCAGGCAAACATGACGCCGTCAACTGCACCAGCCGCTCTTCCTAGCGGAATCCAGAGAGCCCAATACCCCTGAACTAAGGAATATGGCTTAAATTATATAGGGCTTCATATCATATTATGATTTAAGCTATATCCCTTAATTAAGGGGTATTGGGCTCTCTGGGAATCTGGGGCCTCGGGCTTTGCGCCATATACAAACGGAATAGGGTCGCAACCCGGTGTTACGTCAGCCCTTGCGACCTGTTTTGGTTTTTGCTGGCTTGGGCACCGCTTGTGTGCGTGAGGCTTGAGTTTGAAGCTACTCGTATCCATTGAATTCACTGAAACGCCTGTACATTCCTCATGACTCCCTTTTTGGAACTATGACGGCCGTACCGATCCCTACAGTAGACCAAGCACCTCACATTTCCATTTCTGTATGCGACACCCTATCAGAGGCGAGCAGTCCACGGAGCATCCACGCAGCTTAAAGAGAAGAACCTAAGTTAGGCTTGGACTGTTTAGTTTAGCTTGTGGGGTTTGTGGTTTGTGGCAAAGACTTAGGGGTAGACCCGACGGACCAAAGCAAACTGGATGCATTCCGATCTTCAGTTGACCGAGACGGTTTAAGATCAGAGCTTTCTGTGGTTTAGGGTTTAGGGTTTAAGAGCTTTCTGTGGCTCAGGGTTGCTGTTGTCACGCTAGGTAACATGTCATAGGTTCTGGCAGAGTTGGATCGTGACTCGTTTGCTTCTTTTGGGTGACAGGGGGTGGAACATTTTTTTGCGGTGTCTACAGTCTGACTTTTGTGCGATGTTGGGACAAGGGTTTACCCAGAGAGGCTCCATAGTAGTTCTTTTTTGGGATTACCTTATAGGGTTCTAAAGTATGAACCCCAAAAAGGAACTACTTTGGAGCCTTAGGGTAGAGTGTGCACGAGGGTTTTTGGCTTGTAGGTCTGCGGGATTTATGACCATGCGGTGGTAGGGTCCTGGTTGATACTACAGGCTGTTGCAATCTCTGCCATTCGAGAAACTAGGCCTCCCAGTGGGCCCTTTTTCCTTTTTGTAGTCCTAGGTTCTTTTACCCAATAAGGTAAAAGCCAGAAAGTTGGAATATGATTATCCTAAGCCTTCTATGGTAAACTATTCGGTATCCTACCATGAAACCCTATTCCAACTTTCTGGAGTTCCCTGTGCCAAAACGGAAGCCCGCTTTATTCCTAGCTTACTGGGCATCATAGGAAAGAGGGGCCCCCTAGTCCAAAGCTTCCATGCAGCCACTGTAGCGTGACAGTATGCTATCCGCCCCGTCTCAAGATGATAGAGCATGTAACAGCATGGCTGTAGCGTCTACAGCCTCCCTACGGTAAACCCTAAGATGCATATGGCGAGCAAAGTGAAGTGGTGAAGTTACTTTCTCCCAAGTTGCGAATCGATGCCGACTTGATCGGGTTTCGGGTTGAGGGTTTCTGGCTTGAGGCTTTGGGTTTCGTGTTTCGGGTTTAGGACTTATAGAGCTGTGGCTTGGAAACCATGGATTTTGCAGACTTCCAGTCGCTAACTGGGGACTGTGTACCCGGAAACCTATAGGTATACCTGTAGCCCTGAACCCCACAAAAGTGTGGGATATGACCCCTGCATGATAGGGTATAGCCGGTATAACCCTTGAAACCTCATGAAGGCATACTACTGGCAGAGAGGCCAGAGTTCAATGGCTAGTACACAGGTTCCCTATACACCCAACAGCCCTTGTATATAAGGCCCCTGCACTGACCAAGGTGCTGACATATTCTGGTCGGGCCATTAGCCCGGCTCCGGTTGGCACAGGTACCACGGCAGAGCGAGAGAGAGACAGGGAGAGAGTGCCAGTAGGTTTTAGGTTTTAAGATTTTATACGGCTGTAGGGTTTTGGGGTGTATAGGGCCTGGGAGAGAGAGGGTCTTTTGCCCAACCCTCTTGAATAGAGGCTTGAAATGATGTGTCGTCGGAAGGCAAAGCAAGGCAGCCTGCGACACCACCGCCTTTGGCCTGCTGCCGAGGAGGGCTTCGGTTTCAGCACGGTCGGCCCCCCTTACAGTAGAAGCCAGAAAGTTGGAATATCATTATCGTAACCCCTTTAAGGTAAATTATAGGGGATCCTACCATTAATCCATATTCCAACTTTCTGGAGTTCCCTATAACTGTTAGGATCCTCGTTACGAGCCCTTAGTAAGGGAGGTGGGAGTTTGTGTCTTTCTGTCCATCAGTCATCATGCTCATCTCACCGGCAGCTCGATTGCAACCTGGTCGGTTCCCATCTAGAAAGAGACATCACGACGACAGCCTCGAAGTTTGACAGATTCTCTCACCTCAACTAGGCCATTGAAATTTTAGATGGACTCCAAGAGCCCAAAACGTAGAGAAAAGTGCTAGCACTTGATAAACATTGTTCAAGGTCGAGGCTCAGCGCCGGATAAGGTGGTGTCTCAAGGCGATGGGTTCGATGGGTTCTCTTTCACGCTCTTGCGTATTGGGACAAACGGTTTTGAGGGTATCACTGTCAGATCATTCAAAATGCAAAACCAAACCCTTATGCCACGGTACTGTGGCTGTTGGTGTTGATGAGTGTTCTTTCTGTATTGCAGCTTTCCCAAGATCTCGCTTCTCTAATTAGTCCTAACCCTGACCTTGTGCCGTAGTGGACTGTAGGAGACGCACACCCGCTAATAGACCATGCACCTCGTACCCTGCAGCACACTTAAAACCCCGCACTGGCCCGACCCTGAACAAAATCGTAAAGCCCCACAGACACTATAAAGGAAGCGTGAAAAAGATGACCCTATCTGACCCAAACGCATATCGCCTTCATTTATGAAGCCCTCACCCTGAAACCCTAAACCCCAAAACCTTGAACCAACAAAAGGGCACGGTTTCTTTTAAAGGGAACTCCAGAAAGTTGGAATATGGATTAATGGTAGGATCCCCTATAATATACCTTAAAGGGGTTACGATTATGATATTCCAACTTTCTGGCTTCTACTGTATTATATGTTGCCAGATCCAATGTTGGTTATACTTTGAGTATCCCCCCCAAGAGAAGTCTCACTCATCAGACTCCGAACCACATGCCGCACCTGGATTGTCCGAGTGTGAGCACCGAAACCAACAAAACCCTAAGCCCTAAGTGACTGAGCTCCAAAAGCCCTGAACCCAAACAAAAATCACCTAAACCCTAAAGATCCCTTTAAAGGAACCCTTTAGAACCCTTTAGAACCCTATAGATCCCTGAGAAAGGAACTCCAAAGGCACTATATACAGTAAACTCATAAAGTTAGAAGCCGAATTAAGGCCAAGTAGTGCTGGCATTCCCTATAACTTGCTCGTGAGGATTCGGGCTATTGGGTTTCCAACTTTTAGGCTTCTACTGTATGTATTGTTATGGGGGATACTTCCCTAAGTCATAATTAGTAATTCTTAATATGGAAACCCTACATTCTACTACATCGGTACATGGGGCCCTTTGGGGAAGACAAAAACTACTGTAAACCCTAGACCCCAAAGATCCCTGTTAAAGGAACCCTATAAAACCCTACAGATCCCTGTGAAAGGAACTCCACAAGCACTATGTACAGTAAACTCATAAAGTTTGAAGCCGGATTAAGGCTTTTGGGTTTCCAACTTTTAGGCTTCTACTGTAAACCCATAGACCTCAAAGATCCCTACAAAACCTTATAGATCCCTGTGAAAGGAACTCCAAAAGCCCTAAACCCTAAACCCTAAACCCTAAACCAAAAGCCCTAAACCCTTGCTGAGGTGCTCTCGGGTTCGGCGTTCCGATCGCCTTCGGAAGGGCGCATTGGTTGGGACCTGAGATTCGTGGGGACCCAAAAAAAGCACATAAGCATAAGCAATTCATAGGGATATCCCTACCTTATTTGGCTTCCTTATAAGGGGTTTATATGGGATATCCCTATCCTTGTTTTTCCTTATGTGCTTTGTTGGGGCCCTAGATTCGTGGATGCCCGAAGGCGGTTGAGAGTTTGGGGATCAGGGTTTAGGGGCTCGAGTCGAGGTTTTAGGGATTTGAGTTTAGGGATTTAGGGATGGCGGTTTAGGGATTCGGGATTGGGGTTCAGGGTTTAGCAGGTATTTGGACCCCCAAAGTATATACCATGCCATTACTTGGACCCTTTGGGCTAGATCATGTGAGGACTTTAAACTGTTTGGCCTCGTATATTTAGTCTATCTTAGATCGGGTATTGACGAACCCTAAACCCTCCTAAACCCTAAACCCTAAACCCCTAAACTTGAAACCCTACACCCTAAAACCTCAAATTGAAGCGGAGACGATTCGAGCTCGGAGCTTTTACCCTAAGGGCTAGGGTTTAAAGGGTCTAGGCTAGGGGTTTAGGGGTTCAGGGTTTGTAGGCTCTATCAAGTTAGCCGGAGTTTGGGTTCCTCGAAGGGTCCATATGGAGCTTGAACGATAAGCGTCCATGGAACTTAGTGATGAAATTTCCGTGATAAGGACCTACAGTAAAGAGTGGGGTTTCTACTATGGTCGCTGACGCTGAGTTCCTTAACTCTAAGGGTAGATGTACCCATATATTATGTACCTTGGACCTGACTTAAAGTATTAATCTAGGCACTACTTCGAGTCTTAAGTGGGAGTTTCCGAATTTAGGGGACCCTAATACAGTCCCCTATAGTAGGATCCTTATTATTAGGACCCCAAAATAAGGTACCCTAATTTTCGGAAACTCCCACGTCTGTCCCCTATGAGTACTTGGACCTTGATCCTCTCAGACGGGTTGTTTGAAAGGTTGTTGCATAAGGAACCCGAAGAGGGTTGCTATAATGGCCACAAGTAAATGGCGTCAACGGTTTTCACAAGATTTTGTAAGTTGTGCGTGCAGTTTAACATGCTTCATGACGCTCTGGGAGTTTTTGGTCTTTGTAAAGAGCTTCAACGGGATTGTACGGATGTTGGTTTAGGGTCTGTTACCTTCCATCAGGGCTTGCGGCAGGACTTGGGTCCCTGGGTTAGGAGGGCGGTTTTTGGTGATCATTCTCACGGAGATGGTCACAAGCTACAATCGGCTCAATCCAAACCACTCCATCTGTACTGTCAACATGAGCGGCACCGGCGTAGAGACCCCCATAATTATAGCAGCTTCATTTGCATCCTTTAAGAATAAGAGCTCTGTCAACCCACCCTAAACCCCTAACCCTACACCCTAAACGCGTTTGAGTTGGTCCCAGGTGCCTTCCGACCTGAGCTGGCGAAGTCTCCCATGCAGAGGCTTCGATGCGCAAGCGCTTCTGTTGTGAGGTTTAGGGTTTAGGCTTAGGGCTGTTCTGGGCGAAGGGCAGGGGAGATTAAGGCTTAACGAAAAGAGTCTCAGAGTTTCAGTCTTGGATTGAGTATGAGGGGTTTGAGGCTCGAAAGTCTGCAAATTTTAGGACATTAGCAGACATTAGCCTTAAAACCTCAACCCAAGCCAGCATGAAGTTGCTGCACGGACGACACCGTAGGGCCTTACAGTTCGAAAGCATGTTTTGGGTGTGGAGGGTTTGAGGTTTTTTTTGGTAATATGGCTGGTTGGAGTTTCAATCAGGTCTTTTTTCTCCACAATACTTCATCCAGCTGCACTACACACCCACAAACCACAGCCTCGCACATGTTACCGACGCCTTTCCAAGCTCGGAGGGTCCCTTCGTCCCTTCTTGATTCGGAAGCCCGAGACCCGAAACCCAAACCCCTATGTCAGCCCTGGAGCCTGTCTAGATTTCAGAACCACGTATAGTCTCCATTGTAGTTCTTTTTTTGTGGTTTAACCAATTCTATATTAGGGATCCTAAAAGCTAACCCCAAAAAGGAACTACAATGGAGACTACAGGCATAATGGAACTTGAGAAAACATAATTCCACGTTCTCAGTTCGAGTGTCGAGGCACGGCGCTGTTGGTTTTCTATCCTGTATTTTGCGTGTGAGCGTGGGGGCGTGCATGCGTGCATGCATATGTGTGTGTCTGTGTACATGTATGTACGTGCATAGGTAGGTAGGTAGGTAGGTAGGTAGGTAGGTAGGTGTGTATGTATGTATGTATGTATGCATGTATGTCTGTATGTATGTTTTATTGGTGGGTCAGCATTCCGGGTGTAGGGCTTCGACCGGCTTTCTAATTATAGAGGCTAAAGCACATTCTTTAAGAGTTTAGGTTTCGAAGTGCACCTATAGTCTCCATTGTAGTTCCTTATTTGGTTAACCAAAAACTATTTTATAGGATCCTAACCATAAAATTGGTTAACCAAAAAAGGAACTACAATGGAGACTATAGGTATACTTCGAGGTGTAGTTTGGACCAATGCTTCCAGCGAAGGCCGACAGTCTACACAGGCCATCTTTGTAACCCTTAGTAGCTGAGTGGATACACTTTACACTTTTTGGGATAATACTACCCACTGTAGAACTGAAAAGTGTACCCGTTTTGGGGCTTATGAACTCAGCAACTAGGAACCAGTGCGCCGTAGTTTTGTTCATTCAAACTCTTGTCTTCCATGCCAAGGATCTTCGATGTCACTTACCCTAAGCGTCTAACCCAAAGCCGGAAATTCCGGAACTGTTCCCACACCCTAAACCCAACTATAAACACCATGCCCGCAAATTGAAGCCAGCAGGCAGCATCCAGATGGATGGCGGTCCCCGGCCGCGCTGCCAACTGCTCCTTCGGCGTTTCCCATGTGCTTGAGCCTTGGGCCATCAGGGGCGTTTGGGGTTATTTTGGTTTCGCGATTGTTGTCGTTTGAAGTTTAGGATCAGATTAGGATTCCTTGTATGAGGCTTCCTCAATTTGCGGTTTAGCATCTTTTTGGTGTTTAGGGTTTAGGCTCCTTTGGCACAGCGTTCTGCAGCAGTTTTTACACCTGTGTAGTTTTACTCTAAGGTGTTCTGCTTGTTGTCTGTTGTTCATTATAGTGCTAGCAGGGTTTTGCTGGGGTGAAAGTGCAGCATTTACTCGCTCGGGCGTTGATAGACGGTGCACTTTTCTTGTCCCGCATATCGTCTAAGAGTCTACAGTCCCACGACTCCTCTTCGCAGATCTCTTAATCCTAGTAGTAGAGTAGGTAACCTTTAGCCTTTCTGGGTAGTATAGCCCCTTCATAATCCGCATATGAACCAAAAGGTCAACTTTTTGTTCCCCATGATACCCGACAAGTAGGTAATAGTGCAACATAGGGACGTAGATAATTACCAAGACTCTTTTGGGGGGCTCCCTATTTAGAGTATACAGGGCACCCAAACCGTATTCTAATTATTAAGACCCCTATATTAGATCTATTCATGGAGTTCTGAATTGCTTGAAGGGTTGGCACACGTATAGCTTGCTTTGCTGATACACTCGGAGACGCACCTCCTTTATAGCTGGCGAAAAGCCTGAGACTTCATGTGAGATGCGGAAAAGTTGTTCTTTGAGCAATATAGGGGGGTTGAGCCGGTTGAGCTCACCGGCAAATATTTAGCACGAGCTGGGTCGAAATACTCTTCTGCGATCAGGTGCATGAGTTTTTGGTGTCAGTGTTCTCGGGGTAATTCCTATAGAAGCCCTTCACTCTACTATATAGGTACCTACGGTTGATGATATAAATCCTGCATTACCTTAAGGACCCTAAACTATGGGAATTATGGTATATTCCTTATTATGGGTCATGCAGGATTTATATCATCAACCGTAGGACCCTTCAGGAAACCTTGAGCCCTGAACCCTCCGACTATGAGAAGCCCCGGAGCCCCAACAGGAGTTCTTGGCAGCAGAGTAGGCAACCTTTAACCTTAGCGGGGCAGTATCATCCGTATAGATTCCAAAAGGTCTGCTTTTAGTCCCCCTAGGATACTGGACATGTAAGTTATGCCCTACACTGTACAAAAAGCCCTAAACCCTAAACAATTATAACCCCTAAACCTCATAAACCTTAAGGCCCCAAAGTAGTTCCTGTTGGTGGCTCATATTTAGCATCCTCTATGGTAATCCCAAAAGGAACTACTATGGGGCCTGTGGGTGTGCAGGCCCCTATACTATACTATAGACCCCTACTATAGATCCCTTATAGACCCCTTTAAGGAGCCCTGTAAAGGAGCTACTATGGGTGGAGCTCCTGATGACCCCAAAAGATCCCTTGAAAGGAACCCTGTAAGACCCTATAAAGGGAACTCCAGAAAGTTGGAATATGGTTTCAGGGTGGGATACCCTACAATTTACCATAGAAGGGTTAGGATAATCATATTCCAACTTTCTGGCTTTTACCTTACATCCCTTTAAAAGTTCCTGACTGCAGGCCGATCCACGCCCTCACCTCGGCCAAGTGTCGGCCAAGGCACCGACAAAGTTCGGGCTTGGGGCGCTTAGGGTTTGGTGTTTGTGAGGGTTGAAAGGCTACAGGTTTAGGGTTTAGGGCTTCAGGCATGTCAGGGATTCGGGTTTGGGGTTTATGAAGATTTATGGGGTTTACGGGTTTCGGGTTTGGCTGGTCAGGGATTTAGGGTATAGCTTACTTAGCTTACTTGTCCGTCATCCTAGGGGATCTAAATCCAATGCTTAACTTCTGGGTATCTATAGGGGATGATAATACGATTTATGTTCTGGGGTCGCCGAGAGCCGACCAGTTAGTTCGGTCAAGTTGACCTCGGTCATTTTACGCTTTCGGGTATGTGCCACATTGCTGAATGACGAGGTTTGTCCCTCGCTGCACTTTGTTTTCACGGTCGCTGCTGCCCCAATCCCCCTATCAGAGATGTCCATTATCAGGCTTAGTGATTTACGGCACCTTGTTTTATCGTAGCCTTTTGGGAATCTGGAACCCATGCTGTGAACTAGTGCCTATGAGGGGAGGGAGCGGTCTATGTGCACACATTGAGTAAACAATTTCGTGGTTTGGGGCTTCGTGGTATCCCTGGATTGTTTTTTTCGGGCTAAGGGTAGAACCCTAAACCGTTTACTTCTAAGTTTTTCAAACAAGCCTAGAATCCTAAAATTTTCCTAACGACTACTATATTCAGATATGGTTCCTCAAGCCTTGTACGCAGGCTTCGGAAACTCCCCCGCTGGCGCTCGTCTCGTGCTGCCCTTGGCTCGAACCAAAGTGTCCAAAGTACCTGTATAGTAGAATGTAGGGTTTCTATAATAGGAATTACTTGGGGAAGTATCCCCCATAACAGTACATAGGACCCTTTGGGGAACCAAAGTGCAGCGACCTCTGCGTCAGAGTGCAAGTTTCCTGCGGCTCCCATATCCCTAGGGCTCCAAGTATACAAATAGTACCTGCTTTGGGCTCTAAAGTCTATAAATAGGACCTGCTTTGGGCTATTTGGAGCCCCAGGGTATGGGAGTTTCTGAAAACAGGGGACCCTAATATAGTACCCTAAATAGTAGGATCCTTAGTATAAGGATTCCAAAACGAGGTACCCCCATTTTCGGAAACTCCCGTATCGCTTTCATATATGGTTTCTATTTTTTTCCTCTGTCATCCTCATTACGAGAGGGGCGTTGTTGTTTTTACATGCGGGGTCTTTCTTGCGCGGATTTCTTTAGTTGGCGATTCTAAGCCTAAGGAGAATGCTTGTCACGACAGCTTCTGATTCTGATTTACGTAGTTTATAGTTAGAGTACATTTTGGCATAGTTTGTCAAAGCAATCTAGCAACTAGTGTCGGGCGAGAGGATTCACTTTCTGTTGGACTGTTTCCGGATGCTAGGGTGTAAAGCTGACCAGAAAGCATCTGAAACACGTCTTAGGGATCGGTCTAGGACAAAGGATTGACTGCTCAGAGAACACAATACCCCTTAATTAAGGGATGTACTGTGAATATCCTTGAATCATAATGTCAAGGCCTCTATATAGGTATGTTCCTGAGTTAAGGGCTATTGGGTTCTCTGGGTGTAGCTGCGCACATTCGGCCGCAGCTCCGAGAGGAAGCATTCCGAGCCTGCACTTGCACAGTCAACTTGTAGACCCCTACATCCCCCGTTTCGAAGGCTTTAATTCGTGCCCTAAGGCTCTAAGGACTCATATTTTAAGGCTTTTGGGCCTAAATACCATATTATGCAAACGGCTTTTGGGCCATTTTGAGCCTTAGGGCTAGCTCCTTGAAGCTCACAAAGCCTAAATCTGAAAGCCAAAACTCGAATCCCAGATCCCCAAACCTGACGTGTCCCTTGGCTTCGCAGAGGCCTCGACGCATGGCCATGCGAGGTCCTCATGGCGCTCGCCGTCAGAAGGCCGCAAGGGCCCCAGCACCGAAGAAACAGGCAGTGCCCCAAGGGTCCTGTCCGCCGCCATTCGCACCATACTCGCTTCCTACAGCGTACAGGGTTATCACGGATGGGACAGCGACACCTTGCTTTGACTGGCGGACGGTCCAAAAACGATGCCAACCCTGCCCTCAGACGCATAAGCCCGGTAACTGAAACCCTGTGTCTTGACTGGTCTGCATTGGGAATGTGGAAGGATGTCACATTGCCAGATCGGAAAAATCGTTGGAACCCGATAAGGATAACGAAACCTAAAACCTGAACTCTAAGACCTTGTCATTTGTTTACCCTGAAACCCCGATCCGATAATCCTTAAACCCTGAACACTGAAGCTGTCGAACCTGAATCCTGAAACCATGGAGCCGTGAACCCCTTAACCCGTACACCGTGATCTGAGGCTCTACAAGCACTGGTCTTATGCCCTCTTACTACCATTTGAATGACAGTATCATAGACACCAAAGCCCCCTTCCTATTGTTGAGGCCCCTACATAACCCTAAACCATCCTAAACCCCCTACACCAACGCCAGGCTTTAGGTTGTTAGTTTCGATGGCCCCTGTTCTATAAGATATGAAGTGCCTTAAACTCTGTACCAATTTGGGAAGCCTTTTAATTTCCCTTTATGGTTCCTATAGAGGTACCTATTCATAAAGACTTCTCAGAGCCCCAAAACTACAACCCAGTAAAGAACCGTTTATTCTATACACCAAAGCTCGATCCTAATAATTGAGGCCCTCCATAAGACTCTTCGATCCCCTATGCCCAACCTTTTGAACTTTTTGGGCTCTTATGGTTTAGTAGGAATCGGAAAGTTTAAGCTTTCATTTTTGTGGCTTTAGTAGGAATTGGGATGTTTAAACTTTCGTTTCTGTGGCTTGAGTATCAATCGGAAAGTTTAACCTTCGATTTCTGTGGCTTATTGGGGAAGTAAGGACTGCTCATCCGAGGCATCGGGAGCGGACCACCCTGGGGCCCCGCAGACGGGGCGTGTCAGACACGGACTCCACGAATCTCAGCGGCAGTATATAGGGTTTTCTGGGTTTACCTATGGTCTCCAGTGTAGTAGCTCCTTTTTTGGGGGTTTAACTTATTTTTTGATATCAAGGATCCTAAAAGGTAACCCCCCAAAAAAGGAGCTACAATGGAGACTATAGGTAGGGTTCATGATTTAGGGAGGTGGGTGTAGGATTTAGGTTTCGGGTTTAGGGCTCATGATTGAAGGGTTAGCCTTTGAGGTTTCAGGTTGAGGTTCAAGGCTTAGTAGCTGAGTGGATACACTTTACACTTGTTGGGATAATATTTTGCAACTATAAAACACAAAGTTTACACTTTTGGGGACTTATGAACTCAGCAACTAAGTAGGGCTGTGGCCTCAAAAAGGCTCTTTGAGTTCCTCCAGGGCTTGTTTTGGGGTTTCTTGGGTTTATAGTTCGGGGTTGTTGTAAGGGTTTTGGCACAGGTCTTTGCAGGGTTCTTATATGGACTCAGAAGCTACAACCTTGAAGGTTCTATGAGGAGTTTTGGGGTTTTGTCGTCGTTTGGACACGGTCGTGCTGTCCTGCCCGGCGGCGCGCTTGTTTTGGTTGGTTTATGCTTGTATTGCAAGCTTGAAATGTCGAGGCCTTGGACAGATTAGGATTCCTTTCCGGACCTTACTTATCGACCGCCGAAGGCAAATTCCAACAGCCCTCATGCACAAACACAGGGTCGATCCTGCTGAAACCGGACCTCAACTCTGCGCCACCCCAAGATTTGCTCGTCGCTTGTCAGGCTTTGACATGGCGGCGCAATCACCCATGCGGAGGTTCTGGGTGTGGTGCAGTGTATGAAACAATTTACCGATTTTGCGTTGGGGGGTTGTTGTATACAAGACGCAGGTCGTTCGATTGTTTGGGCTGAGCACGATCACGCGGATGGATCTTGACGGTAACGGTGGTGATGGTATGGTGATGGTGATGCTGAAGATGAGGTCATCCTTATGATGACGATGACGACGACATGATGAGATTCCCTTAAATTTAAACCGAGCGTACTTGACAATACTTAGAGGATCATGGGACTTAGTAAGTAGGGTTATAAGTAAGGTGTCTATAGTTATATCTACTCATAACCCCAATTAAGGTCCTTATACCCCTACTTACTAAGTCCCACGATCCTCCACGTAATATTTCGGCCCTGGTGGCTGAATGTATCACCTACCTTTCTACGCCTGTTGTTGTCGCAACTGCGAGGTTTTGCGGCTCAGGGGCCCGAAGGACAACATGCATAAGCAAACGGAACTCACAAATCTTGGCGTTCTTGTGGCTGGCTCTTAGGACTTTAACTTTTGGGTTTCTATATGAACTAAAACAAGGAGGCAAAAAGAGGTTAACTTTTTCGAGGCGTTCAGAAGTCAGCCAAGAAACAGTGCCTGTGGCATCCAAATATTATTTTACAGGGCCCTTATGACTATGCGCATGTGCCTTTCGCAGCTCTAGATGTCATGTGGGGTGGTTGGGCTCAATGGTTGTGGTGATCTGCCAGGCTTTCTGCAGTATTCTGTTAGAGGCACACCGGAAGCCTTGGTGAGACGACCTGAGGCGACGTGGCCGTATCATGGGCTCATAAACAGTCGATGCGTATGAGCAGGCCATTTTGATTGATGCACTACCCCTAAGGCTCTAAGGAATCATATTTTAAGGCTTTTCGGCTTAAAGGCCATATTATATACGGTATGCGGCTTTTGGGCCATTCTGAGCCTTAGGGTACAAGTCGGTAGCGGTTGTGAGCCCAATCTCCTAAATTCCTAGCTTGACCCCGGAGCATTGCACGGATGTCCAGACGCTTAGACTTGCAATGCTGTCCATGTCGACCCTGGATGCAGCGTACAAGAAAGATGCTGGAACCGTGCTGCTGTGCAGCTTCCTACGATTTGCTTCGCCGCCGATGCTGTCATCTACATCCTTGATGCCTTTGCCTGCAGCGTTTGAGCTGCAGGCATCGTGCGTTTGTGCCGCATCTATACTGCAAGACCTATTCTTTCAGAGCCCAGCGGCTCGGTACATGTATCGGGCCACGAAGAAGTTCGTGAGCTTTCGCTGCTTGCACGCCTGGGCTTGCATGAAACCGCACAGCGGCTGGCATCATCTAGCATATGTTCCTGCTTTCTTTAGCTTGTTTTGCTGACTGACAACAAGAGGCCATGTACCGAAACCCTCAGCCCTGACTCGCAAACCCTACTGTAAACCCCTAAACCCTAAACCCGGGAAAAAACAACTAAACTCTAAACCCCAGAAACTCTAAACCCTAAACCCTAAAATATAAACCCGATAGCCGCACGGCACTATAGCTTCAAGTCCTCAACCCAGGCGGATCTCCCCAGCCCAAGCTGCTCGGGGCTTCGGGAGACGAGGCGGAAAGCATCGATCCCGAGGACACGCCATGGGGGGTTTGGTTGATAAGAGGGGTTTAGGGTTTAGGGGTTTAGGGTTTAGGAGTTTAATAGGTTTTGGGGTCTAGGGGTTTAGGGTTTAGGGGTTTAAGGTTTAGGGGTTTAGGGTTTAGGGGTTTAGGGGTTTAGGGGAGGGTTTAGGGATTATAAGGCTTCATTATGCCTGAATCTTATAAATCCCGCCTCTTTTTCTGGGCTCCTCATTATCGATAAGCTTTGTGTTTCTTTAGATAAAGACGTAGGTTATCGGGGGTTGTTGGAGTTCGCGTCACCACTCATCAGAGATTGCATTTTCTCGTTGTTGAATGTTCACTTGCCGCGGTACTCTTCCTGCTGATGTCGTCGTCATAGCTAGCAGTTAGGTGTCGCTGGCATGCACTATCGGGGCCTTATAATCATTACCTATACTGTTTGTGGGGCTCCTTCTAGTAATTATAGTATACTATGCCCCAAAACCCTCTTCTAATTATTAAGGCTCCTAAACTCTGAAAAATCCCCCTTGAAGGATGCCGAGGAAATGGCATGCATAGTCGATCGCACAACGAAAGACTCGAGCCACAGCCAGCATGATATGGGAGTTTCCGAAACTGAGGGACCCTAAAACAGTACCCTAAATAGCGGGATCCTTATGATAAGGACCCCAAAGTAAGGTACCCCTAATTGACGGAAACTCCCCTTTGTCAACTTTCAGAAGCCTCCGGGGATGTGAGAATTGCATCGCATGCAAATCCCGAGGTGATACCGAAATCTTCTCGCCAAGCCCCAGCCCCTAGTAGTAGAGTAGGCAACCTTCAACCTTTTCTTGGGTAGTATAGTCCCTATATAACCCCTATATAACCTACCGAACTCTTCTCGCCAAACGCCGAGTCTGATTCCCAACGCTCCAATATGGGAGTTTCCGAAAATTAGGGGGTACCATATTTAGGGTCCTTATAACAAGGATCCTACCATTTACTATGTTAGGGTCCCCCATTCTCAACGCTCCAATATCCCTAAGACCCCAATTGGTCAAATTAGTACCTGCTTTGGGCTCTAAGGCCCATAAATGTCACCGAAGTTGGGCCACTTGGAGTCTATATGGGTATGCTAAACCCCAAGCCCTGATCCGTATATGTTGGAGACTGCCCCCCACTCAGGTTCTGTTGACTCATCTTTATAAATATAGACGGATATATTATGCCCTTAATAGGAGCCTTATTATAGACTGTTACCGTATGGGGGCAGTACCCAAGCTCTAGGTTCATGGCCCTAAACCCTACACTTCGGGGTGGTTCCTTATGGTACCAGTATAGTATAGTATACCCCAAAACCCTCTTCTAATCAATAAGGCCCCTAAACGGTTGATGATATAAATCCTGCATCACCCAAAATAGGGAATATACCATGATTTCCCATAGTTTAGGGTTCCTAAGGTAGTGCAAGATTTGTATCATCAACAGTAAATCCTAAACCCTATAGACCCCTTTAAAGGAACCCTCTAAAGGTACCCCTATAGATCCCCTTAAAGGAACCCTAGGGATTTATATCATCAACCGTATTATGGCAAGGAGGGCGCTGGTCCCTTTGGGGATTACCGCAGCTTCCGAAGTGGGGAGCTTGCCCGGGACCTGGCGCTTAGTCTGGCGATGGCGAGCCTTCAGCAAGCCAGCTTCCTGGACAAAGCTGTAAGGGTCTGTAGAGTAGTATCCTGATTTAACAGTTTAGGGTTGTAGGGTGGGAAGAATCTTGGACAAAGCTATAAGTGTCTGTAGTAACCTGGTTTAGGGTTCAGGGTTATACGGTATAAGGAACCTATAGGGTTGTTTTTTTGTGGGATTCGGGCGTGAACGGATTTCGGGCTTAGAAGTGGGGGAACGCGGGGGCTGCATGCGGAAAGTCCGACATAGACCGGCGGAAGGATCGGAAGATACTTTGGCCCCAATGGTATTTTGGGGGGATTACTTTTAAGGGCCAATGTATATATACTACATGGGCATGCATGGACCCTTAGGGTAGTGGAAAAACGGAGCATCACGACCCCGAAGCCACCAGCCTGAGTGCAAAACCCCAAACCCTACCTTCACCCTGATAAACCCACGTTCTTAGGGTTCCTTATTATGATTTCTATAAGTCCTTAAAAATGTGGGTTCTTCTGGGTTAAGGTACAGCCTAAAGCTCAGCTTGTCCCAGTTGTGAGTGCTGCGACCCTGAGCTTTCAAGGCTCTGGCGGTGCTATCTCGAATGCTGTCGACCTAGTGGATTGGCTACAGACCCTTGGTAGCCTGGTAGGGCTTTGGGACATTTGATATTTGCTCTTTTGGGCTGAAGAGGATCTTACCTGCTAATATTTTCAATTGCTTTAACAGCACCTCCTAGGACCGCGGCGACATGGAAGCAATGCAGCTTCCGGCGCAGAACCGTTTGCAGCAACTGTGGCCTGGATATTGACGACAAGGAGATCGGGGCTTATGGATTCAGGGTTTACTGGTTTAGGCGTTTAGGGTTTAGGGTAGATAAGGCCCTGCTGTTGAGGAGTGTTCGCTGGCACACAATCCAAGCCCATGCTGAAAAGGGTAGATCATGTAGAATGTAGTATATCGTCCAAAAATACGATGCGTTCTGTGTTCTCACTGCTGTGGTCCCAAGCATAAGAAGCTGCACACGCTTATTGGGTTCTTCAGGTCATGGAAATCTGGCAGAGCGCGATGAAATTGGTTTGGAATGGTTTTTGGCTGCGTGATGCCATTTCTGAACTTGATCTTGTGAGAATGCTCCGACAGTTCCTGCAAGTTGTCTGATGGTCCCAAACCCCTCTCGGCATTCATATTCAAGCAAACCACCAGGCATTGCAAAGGAGATGTACTTTGTCCATTGCGCAGATGCAGACAAGGATGACGTAACACAAAAGCAAGGACGTTTCTCAGTCAGTATTGTCAAGACGAGAATTGGTGTGTCGGGAAATAGTTAGTCATGTCTGTAGCTACAACTGTAATTATACATAACCGTGACTTAAGGTATGATGGTACCTCTTTAGATCATTAGTCATTTCGCGGCAGGGAAGCCGCCTCAAAAAAAAGCCATAAATGTATCTATAGTGTCCTTAAGAATTATTTTTTGTTCATATAAAATCCAAGAAAATATCAAAAATACGGTTTTTATTATGGTTCTAAGGGGGGATAGATGTATGTAGAAGGAGACTTTCGTTAGCCGCATCAGCATCGCCACCGAGCTGGGAGACGTAGCCTTGAGCCTCTACGTGCACTACGAAGATACCTTCAGTCACGAGGACAGCCCTGGTAGCATGAGACCCTACTTTGGGTTTAGGGGGTTTTGAGTTTAGGGTTTAGGGGCTTAGGGTTTAGGGATATAACCTGGTAGCATGATACCTTAGGGTG